TCCCGCCTAAGGAAGTTCCTGGGAAGTCTGCATCGTCTGGCGCAAAGCCTACTGAACCGTTGCAGCCACCGCCTCCTAAGAAGATGCCTATCACCGCTGTGAAATCGGCACCTACGCCAAAGGCGGAGCACGCTGCCAGTGACAAGGCAGAAGCGTCACCTCCCGGAAGGGATGGTCAGTTTTGGTTGTCAGGCCCGGACCTGCCGCCCTTCGCGTCTGATCATCGACACCTCAGTGAGGGCCAGCGCTTCAAACTGGGCAAGAAGTGTGCATTCGTCCTTAGAGGCTTCACCAACAAGCCCGAGTACGGCAATAGAACGCCGACAGTGACGATCCGTCGGAACGACCTCTCGATGGACTGGGAAGAGTTCATCGATGCCCTTAGCCAGATCTGGAACGGGCTCAAGGTCTCCCAGATCTTCGAAGTCTTTAAGACTCCAGTCGACGGGAAAGCCCGCTACGAAGTGTACATTCAGAAGCACAATGATCAGGAATTTGACGTGCTTCGAGCTCGGGCTATCCATGGGCATTGGTCGGGGCTCTTCGGTGACGATACCGAACTCGCCGACATCCACTCCGTGGTGCATTCCTTTGTGCCATGGGACGCCAGTCTAGCGACTCGGCCTAAGATTCATCCGTTCGACATGTACTCCCAGGAGTTTGTCGATTTCCCTTGCAAACTGGGCTACCACGGCACCTTCATGAGGCACTTCCCAGATATCATCAGATACGGATTGTTGCCAGGTGGTGCCGCGCTCCACGAGAGTGGTAGCAGAGCTTTTGTCATGATGTCAAAGCAACCAGAATGGAAAAGGGATGACAATGCGGGCCTTCGCGAGGCGGCGGACGTCGAGTTCGCCATCGATCTCCAAATGGCCGTCTTGGACGGCGTCCGGCTCTTCGAGACTCGCTCCGGGGCACTGGAGACGCCAGATTGGATCAGCAATCGATATCTGGTTTACGCTTATCAGCGGGGCACAGCAGAGCCTGTGTGGGTCAATCCGGCCTACCAGGCGTTCCGTCGGAACATTGACTCCGCTCTAGCGAGCTGGAACAAGGATGGAAGCCACAAGTACATCTTTGGTCCAGATCAATTTGCCTTGGAGCAGCACAACTGTTTTCTCGACTTGTTGGAAAGCGCCGAGAATCTCACCATCGCTGAGTGGGCGCCGGTCGCAATCGACTGCAAGACCCCGTTTCGCATTTCGGCGGACATCTTGAGCGAGGTCGGCGAAGAAGTCATCGAGCGAAGGAAGAACGATGACCAGCTCATCGAAACATATGACGGCTCGCTCGGAATCGGCATCCACGTCTGGCCATCCATGGAAGGCAAGCGGATCCGACTTCGCCAGAGGATTGAACCGAGGCACTGGATCAAACAGGAGTTGGTACTCTACCCCGGGTACCATTGCAGCTCGTGCAATCACAAGTACATCGACGGAATGATCTCCTGTCCAGGTTGCCAACGTCGCCTCATCGAGATGACCGACCTTGCGATTATCGCCGAGCCCGACAGACTCCGGCGAAGCGCCGCCCGAGAGGGCAGGCAGGTCAACATCATTGACTTGCAGCCATCCTCGGGGCTCAAGCACGCGCGTGTGAAGATTCAAGGACCAGAAGAAAGGGAACGAATCCAAAGCACAGCGTCTGGCATCCGCCAGAAGGTCCTCAATCAGCAGAAGAGAGCGGAGAAGCTCCACAACACCACTCCGCAGGGGCAGTACAGTGTGGACCCCATCACTGCTCACAACTACGCCAAAATGGGTCTCAGCTTCCACACTGTCGAGGCGCTGCAACGCTTCGCTAACGTGAGGCTTCCTGATCCTCAGGGCAAAGGAAAAGGGCATGGTTCGTCCACCTACTATGATGCCACTGGAAAGGTTGCCCTCCTCTGGGTGACAGGCCAGCTTGAGATCGACCTCCTCACGGAGTGTCTGATTTGTTTTCATGATCGGTTTTACACCATCAATGAGATTGCAGTTCTCATCAAGGCTGTGAAGTCGAACCAGCATGAGTTTTCCATCCTGCAGTACGATGGGGAGAAATACATCGTCGTGCAGAATGAAATCTTGCCGATCATGGCCGAGCTGGCTACTTTCTTCAAGGCACAACTGCCGCTGAGCCGGACAAGGATCGAGAAGACAAATCCTTCTCTTCGCACCCAGAGAGATCTGCAGGTACCCGCTGAGGCACAGGGACTTGGCAAACGTCAGCTCAACGAGTTGCTGGCCAATACCCCTTACTATCGTCGGTACCAGCAGTACTACATGGACAAGCGCATCGGGGAGAGCGGCCACGTGAGGTTGACCACTTCGGCACCCGCGTCCGAACGTCGCCCACCTGAGCCTCCGGCATCTCCTGCACGACGAGGTCGCAGCTCTGACGAGCGTGCATCGGGTACAGCAGAGCGCAATCGCACAAGGTCCCCGATCGCCAGACATCGTCCGACCGAGGTCCACATCCGGACCAACCCTGGAGATGGAGCGGGCTCATCTACCGATCGCACCCCTCGGGAGCCTGCGATGCCGCCGCCCAGGCGTGTGGCACGTGATCCGTCCAGCTATATCAGTGACGCGGATTGGGATGCAATGCGTGCTGGTACAGGTTTCAGCAGTCCAGCACCGGAAACGGTTGCTCCCGATACCACTATGGATGGAACAGTGAGCGAGACACCGTCCTCTGCTGTTGATCTTGGCACAAGGCGCGAATGGTCCGAGACCTACCGCCGGCGACCCCATGACCCACCGACCTTCGGCGTATTCTTCGAGACGAGAGATGTCCCCGACCGACAGGTCCGGATGCGTGAGACTGTTGTCAACTTCTTTGAGCAGCTCAGGGTCGCAGGATTGTTGTACTCAAACTTCGTGTTGGGGAACGATCTTTCCGGCAACATCATCGATCCTTCGCTTGCCAGGCGAATGGACTGGCACCGCGTTGACATGTACCAATGGGCGGTGTTCGCTGCGATGACCGAAGACTACATCCAGCCTACTTCAGTCGTGAATGCCATTCCTACTCATGGCAACCCACATGGCTTCACGATTCTGGACACCTCTCATGCCCAATGGTTCTTGTCAGGATGGGTCCATGAGGTCTACAACTACAGGACCAACCGCCGTGACCGCATCTACTGAGGTCATCTGATCGACGGCCCATTGTGCCGAGCTTGATCACCTCCCTAACGGGATGGTATTCTGAGACATTTAGATGCCGTCTGGTTAGTAGTGAAGTGAGATTTAAGCGTCGGCACCGCCCTAACGGGTTGGTAGCTAACCTTCTCGTACAAACAGCACAGGGCGCAAAACATCGGCCGCATAATTTGCTTTTGTTGCAAGTTGTTTTCGCTGTCACAAAGTGATATGCTCACGACGGTCTAGTGACTAGTCTTTCCTTCCATCGCCTTCGCCTCAACCGTTGCACTAAGATGCGCGGGGGGTGTATTTTGTGGAAGATGTAGCTAGTCACCTGCACCTACTGTCGTTCATTGGCTCAAGAAAATATGCGTCTGCATTCAGGCTGTTCTGCCTGTAAACATATACTTCCCTACGTCAGAATAGTAGTTCCTAATCTGGAAACCCTACATTCTACAATATCGTTACATAGGACCCTTTGGGTAAACCCTAATCGGCCCCAATCCCTCCTCCGCTTCGGCTCAGAACCCTGAAGACCAAATGTAGGAACCTAGAGGGTCTCTACTGCAAGGGATCTATAAGGGTACCATAATAATGTAGGCACCTGATTAAGAAACCTTGGGCCTTTATTAGGGGTTCCGTATATGAATCCTAGTATTGTGGGGTTATAGGCCCAGGGTTTCTTAATCAGCCACATGGGAGCCTCGCGGAGTCCCGAAAACACCTTCCCAAAATTAACGCCTCCTTTGAGGAGCCCAAAAAGCACCCAGTGTTTAAGCCATACGGGCCCTTAGGGGGGAAGGGGGTTGGGGACTATCCTTCCTTAAAATAGGTCGTATTGAATCCGTATTATAGGTATTAGGGCCCCCAACCTCCCGCCCTACCGCCCTAAGGGTCCTTATGATTAAGGCTTGGAGGTTTGGGGAGGTATCTTGACGAAGGGGTCGTGCGATATACCAACCTTCCATCTGCATTCGAAATTGCAGTGTCCAGGGCACAGGGAAGAATTATCAATGCTATACTTTGGGCTTTGGGGTTCCTCAATATGCAGCAGCCAATCTCATTTTCGTCTATCTTCTTTTGAAGCATGTTGCATGGGCCTTAATCAGCAGACTGTACTATCTTAATTAAGGATTCCAGGGAACAGTTTTGCTGATTGCGCTGGCTTCCAAAATGAGTTCAGGCTTTAGTTGTTTTCTGTCCAAGGGTTTGGTATAATAACCCCCCCGATGGCAACCAAAGCTAAGATTAATGCTGACTTAACAAGAACCCCATGTTGGGGGATTCGTTCACCGCGCCACATGTTCCGGTAGGGGTTTCACACGCTTGCGAAGGGGTTTCAGGGCTTTATAGTTTTTCCGAAGCAACCTGCAAGATCCCGTAGAGTATGAAACGATTTAGGGTTTATGTAAGGGTTTAGGGTGAACTCTACGCTAAACCCAACGTCTCATGCCATGAGCCCAAATTCAGTCGGGTTTAGGGTTTAGGGTTTAGGGTTCCTGTACTTTGAGGCAACGAAGAACCATACTATCGGCGGCATCTCCCAGACGAGAGTAGGGGGGGCTAAACCCTAAACCCCTCAACCCGAAACTCCTAAACCCTAAACCCGGGCTTCAATTCGGATTTTGGGCAGCCCTCCCGAACCCTAAATACTTTGTTTGAACCCACGGCTCGCCTGTCAAACCCAATGGAACTGGAGCCTCTTTCCCAAAGGATCCAGAGTACCTAATTATATAGTATACTGTAGGGTTTCTGTAATAGTAATTACCATTATGACTTGGGGAAGTATTCCCTATGACAGTACCGAGGGCCCGTTGGGCTTAGGCAGTTCCTAGATGCGTAGAGTACAGCTACGTGCCCATTTGTCAGGAGACGGACGCAGAGCGCTTGCTCAGCTTGCAGATTGCGTGCCCAGCCATGTTACAGAAAGCTTCCGAGTGCCCCATTCAAGCACCAACTACGCCCTAAACCCCTAAACCCTAAACACTTTCCGCTAATTCCCAAGAGCTTGTGCACCCAGAATCCTCATGCTAAGGCCGATCCCCAGAAGCCTTCGGCAACATCCAGTCCACATTGTCGAAACACTTTACTAACCGTTGCAGAGTCACGGAAAGTTGGGACTTCACCAAGGTTAAGCATGGGGCGTCCCAGCACGTGTCATCCCAAATGCAAGTTCCAACTTCCTGTGGCTCACTATAAGCTATACGCTCTACAAACCCAAGAATGCCTAAGCCTTGAACTCTAACACCCCACACTGCAAACCCTTGTTACGCTGAAAGAACCGCTATGATGCCTGTGTAGACCCCCGGAGTAACCGTTACAACGACCCCATATGGAAGGGTACAAGGTACACTTATAAGTTCACAAGGTATATATTTGCTACCGCTAGATGTACTCCACAAAACGGATGAAGAGCCGTAACACAGAATCATGCGAGAAACACTAACACCCTTCCTCAGGTTTCCTTGTGTAACTATGCTTTAATATTTCCCCAAAAACCTATCTGATTATCAAAGCCCTTTACATGTGAACGCTCACAGTAGCCCTTATAGAAACCCTTTGAAAGAAACCCTTCTAATAATCCTAACTCTGCTTTAAATTTAGTATTTCCCCAAAAACCTATCTGATTATCAAGGCCCTTTGCATTTGAACGCTCACAGTAGCCCTTCTAGAAACCCTTTGAAAGAAACCTTTCTAATAATCCTATTCAAGATTTTGGGATCTCCTATTTTCACCGACCTGCAATAATCAACACTAAACCTGAAACCCTGGACCCTCTACCCTAAGACCCTCAGGTACATCTTGCTGAACCCTCACCCGACAGGCTCCAAGGACCGTGGGTTGGCGGATCATGGTATACTGGGTTACATTTTGTTATGTTAAACTCTAAGATGATACATGGTACTGTGCTTTGCCGTATCATGCTGTACATACTGTATGATTGCGTATTATACTAAGTTGTTGGTCATATTGTATTGTTTTCTTGATTCCTACTGTAGTATATTATTAAATATTATATGATGGTGTGCTGTCTCATGTTATGCTATCTTGATGTTATGTTCTAATTGTACTAGATGGTTTTTGTATTAGATTATGGCTACTTTCTGCTTGATTCTTTTTCCTATTCTATTCTAATCGTGTTGAGGCTAGGGGGGTGGGGTTTAGACTTCTTTCAGGGTCCTTCAGGGGTTCAAGAGGTTCCTTGGCGGTGCCTCTGGGATTTTTCAACAGTTCTTCAAGGGTTCGGAAGGATTTTACGTATACAAAAAGGGTTCTTTGAACCTAGTTTGATGGTTCTTCAAGGCTTCTAGAAGAGTAGGGGTTCATCGAGATTTCTCTTTCAAATTCTATCATGGGCCTGAAGCCCAAAAGTGAGGCCGTAGTTTTTTCAGAGCGTCACGCTGTCCACTACACCCTTTGCAGCTTCATGTTTCCAAGACACAGTATGCGAGGTTGACACATCACCCTAAATCCTGATTCCTTAAATGTTTTTACGATGTAGAACTTGAACGTCTAGGGCACTCAGAGAGCAGGCACAGGTGGGATACTGCGTTTCTACACAAGCTTGCAATTATTGGGCAGTGATTGTGAGAAAGAGGGTTGGAGGCCGGGGGAATATAGTCTGGGGATATCCATGTAAGCAGTATTTAGCCATTCGTGTGAGTAGCGGGGTCATAGAAAAACCTCAGTAGTAGCCTTGTGTTTCAAAATGGATGCCTGCCTGTGAGCAAACGGTCATTGTTGTAATACTCACTTCTATTTGTCTTTAAGCAAATCTTCCGTTGTGAGTGAAGCTCAGGCGAAATCTCGAAAGATGTCCAACTAGCAAACCCGCAAACCCTCTGACTCCCAAAACGTAGAGTGTCAACACTACTCACTGACGCCCGCCTCGTGAAACCGTAGAAGAAACACGTAAATGCATGGATCTTCGAAGGGAGGAAGCAAATTCTTATCCATATCAGTGCATGTGTGTATGTATGTGTATATATATATATGCATATATATATATATCTCTCTCTCTCTCTCTCTCTCTCTCTCTCTCTCTCTCTCTCTCATGCACAAGTATCTACATACAGGAAGGATTTGGGGTTTGGGCTGTTGGGTTTAAGGGATTGGGGCTTGGGTTCTTTATGAGGGATCCGACGGCTCTGATTCTGGGCTTAGGCTCACCACACCACTAAAGATTTCTGAGTAGTTCGTAATCGTACCCTGTAGCCCCTGGCCGCAAAACCATGTGATAAGATAGGTCTCAAATCCTAAGCCCTAAACTCCCAAACCTTGCATCATCGGGCTTGCGTTGAGATGTTCAACTTTCGCCCGCGGCCACAGCTCCAGACATTTGACGAGCATTACCCCCCGGCCCTAAACCGCTTAGGGATGCTTAGGGTTAAGGGTGCAGGGTTTCAGGGCTTCGGGCGTTTAGGGCTCTCCAGAATGCATCGAAACTCCTGCGCGACTAAAGCCTTAAACCGCAACGTCAACCACAGGATTTCAAAACAATCCCCAGTCTTGACTTTGCTTCCTCAAACAATATTGTTTCCGAGTGCCAAGCCACGCACCGCTATGAAGTTGATAGGGACCCTACAAAGTGCCATCTTGGCACAAAACTACCCTGCCCATAGGCCCCATTGTAATTCCTGTTTTGGGGTTCATATGTAGATTCCTATGGGGTAATCCCAAACAGGAACTAACCCTAAACCCTACTGGCACACCGGTCCGAGACCTTGCGGGAAAACCCTAACCCCTACACCCTGAACCCTAATCCCTAAACCCTAAACCCTAAGCCCTAATCCCTAAACCCCAATCCCTAAACCCTAAACCCTAGGACGCTCTGGACCACGCGCCGGGTCCTGAAGAGTATCACGCTGTCCATGCCCGCTTCCACCCTCAGCATCTCGCTGGGCCGAGGGTTTGTAATGGATTTAAGGGGTTAAAGGGGGTTTTAGCGGGTTTAGGGGGTTTAAGGGGGCTTAGTGGGTTTAAGGGGGTTTGAGGCGGTTTAGTGGGTTTAAGGGGGTTTCAGGGGGTTTAGGGGGTTTAAGGGTTTAGGGCTTAGGGGTTTAGGGTCAATTGCGGTTTCAGGGGTTGTGCAAGTTTTAGGGTCTAAGGTTTAGGGCTTTATAAGGTCAGACAGTCGAACTTCGGAGGTATCGTGCAATCCTATACGAGCGCAACTACTATGACATCTTTTTCCTCGACACCGCCGGGAACTGCATCTACTCGGTGTACAAGGAGCCATGGAGCGGTTTGGGGCCACCCTGAACCCTAACCCCCAAACCCCTAAATCCCTAAACTGAGTTGAGGGATATAGGGTTTTGGGTCTATAGGTTTCAGTTTACTTAAAGAGTATGTGGAATTCGCGTTTGGGGTTGCGGGAGGGTTCTGCTTAGTGTGACCATCTTCAGGGCATTCATAATGGCTCCTCTTGTAGCAAACTGCTCACATTCGCAAGACTCAAGATTTAAGGTAGGATGGTTCCAGGCCCCTCATAGTCACGACGGGATTTCTTACCTTTGGTTCGTAGGGAATGGAGGGATGGAGTACAATTATGACTACTATCACTACCATTCCCTACTAACCAAAGGTAAGATTTGGGGGCCTCTGTGTGTGCGTGTGTGTTGAGCTTCACATGCAGTGTGTCACGAGCATCTTCCGGCCTCGAAGATGGACGCCACAGCATCCGGCAGAATCCTAAGCTTTTCCTCTCCTTGACGGATCATGGGACTGAGCAAATAGGGTTTAGACAAGGCTACGATACTTATAGAATGGTTATAACCCAGTTAAGGTACTTATAAGTTTACTTCCTAAGTCCCAATGATCCTCCAAGTGCTGTCTCAAGTAGCATTGTTTGCAGGACCACTGCATGGGACCAATAAGCGACCAACGGCAAATCGAGCCAGGGTATGGCAAAGTTGCGGAACTGGGGCTGGGCATTTCTCGAAGTTCAGTCCTCCACCCGAGCCTTGCTTTTGGTAGGGTCCAAACGCTAGACAGGATATGGGAGTTTCGGGAGGTAGAATCCGGTAGAAGGCTTAAGGTCAAGCCGAAAGCTTCAAAAGCCTAAGCAACTGGAGCCTTAAACCCTGAATCCTGAAACTTCACAAGCCCTAATACCTAAGCCGCTGAAGCCTTTATCACCCCATCGGGTGTTCTGCTTCTAGATCTGGCGATCCCAGAGGGTTTGATCTATAGGTTTTATTGATTCGGCAAGATGATCTCGGAAAGCGGCCTGCAATCCTGAGTCAAGAAGACTTCTCTCTCGCAGGAGCTTGACTATGCCACAAACTTCTTGGCAGATGGTCCCGGTGACTCGTTCCCATGGGGGTTGGGCCGTAACGCACACCACAGAACCCTAACCCGAACCCCTGTGCCCCTGTAGCAATCCCAAATCCAAAGCCTCCAACCTTAGTGTGAACCCTAAACCCTAAAGACTAAACCCAAACCCTAAACCCTAAACCTGAAGGCCAGAAACTTGGAAAATGGATTTAGGATGGTGAGTGCTAGGATGGGGGTAGGGGGAGGGTTCAGGGGCTTTAAGGTTTATAGGGTTTAGGGTTTAGGGAGGGGGGTAGGGGATTATACAGCCTTATTAGGCCCTTATCAAGTCCTTAGTAGGGATATTCAGGCCCCCTACCCTACCCCCCGCCTCCCCCCACCCCCCTAAGGGTCCCTTTGATATAGCATAGGAAAATATTACTTTGCCTTAAGGGCATGAGGACAATGATGTTCCAACTTTCTGACTTCTACTATGTGCCCCTGAAGCGTGAACAGCACATCCGGGTTGTGCATCTGCAACGGCGGTGAATCTATGGACTGCTACGTCAGCGTCGGCGAGCAGGCTTCTGTCCGCAGCTCGTTTTTGCAAGTTCCTCGCATTGATACGCGTCGACAGCAGCTACGAGCTCGTCGCAATGTGTGGGACAATGGGCCCTTATAAAACCCATGGAGGGTTTTGCATAATAGAGGGTTTTTATTAAAAAAAAAACCCTCTATGCAATGTGTGGGCAGCTCACTGCGACAGCGGACACGAAGTCAAGTGCCGGCGGGGCGGCACAGTAAAAGTCGGCCTCACCATCGGCTATGTCAGGGCCGACGGGTCTAGGTTGCCAAACGGGTGCGACGTCCTTACTAGGACCTGGAGTAGGCCCTTATTCCCTTTTTGTAGGGTTCAGGTTCCCTTATAAGCCCCTTTAAACCAAAAAGGGCACCCTTTTTATTCTCAGGTTACTCTTGGGTCTAGCTTATCTTGTGGGGTACGCTCCAGGAGGTTTGCGTCGCTAACCCGCCATGGGTTCGCAGCTCTAAGGCCTGAGCCTTACGTCTTAGCCCAGTAGTAAAGTAGGTAAGCTTTAACCTTTTTTGGGCAGTATAGTCTCCGTATAATCCCTATATAACCAAAAAGGTCAACCTTTAGTTCCCCATGATACCCGACAGGTAGCTTAGGGTGTGGGTTGTAGGCTTTGGGTTCCTGAGTAGTACCCTTTCGTTGTGTGGTCGCAGTTTAACTCACCCAAGCCACCCGACAGCCTGAACCCTAGGCCCCTAAACCCTAAACCCGTTCAAACAGCCCCCATACCCAACCCAAGCTCGTGCACCTCGAGCACTCTAGCAGTAAAGCACCAGACTCCTAAACCCTAAACTCTAAGCCTTAAACTAAGCCATCATAAACCCTGAACTCTAGGCCTAAACCCTAAACTCCACTCCACTCAACTGCCAATCGGTCCAGAGGAAATCCTAAACCCTACATCCTAAACCCTAAGCTTGAACCCTAAAACCTAGGCCTAAACCCTTTTTTACACCTGGATTTAGGCCTAAACCGCAAACCCTAAGTGCTAAACCCCTAAACCATAAACCCCACCTATAGTCTCCATTGTAGTTTTTTGTTGGCGAACCACTTTATGGTTAGGATCCTATAATATTTGGCTAACCAAAATAAGGAACTACAATGCAGACTATAGTTAAACCCTACTTGGAGGCCCTTTTGACTTAGTAAGTCTACTTAGTATCCCCTAGAAACCCTATTATAATCCCCATAACTTACCTTACTAACCCTACTTACTAAGTCAAAAGGGCCTCCAAGTAATCACCGAGTACCTCGAAAGCGCATGGAAGGTGAGTGGAGGAACTCGGGGCTCGGCGAGGCCCACTGTTCTTGGTGACTTAGGCTTTAGGACTTTAGGGTTTAGAAAGGGTTTAGGGTACTTTAGGGTTTAGGGTTTAGGGTACTTTAGGATTTGAGGGTTTCGGGCTTTAGGGTTTAGGGTTTTGACCACCCAAGGGCCCTTTAATAGATCCCTTATGGCCCTGATTAGTGGTATGCTAGGGTATCGTAGAAGGTAGTTTAGGAGGCTTGAGGACTTTAGGGTTTAGGCTGTAAGGTGTCTTCTGTTTGGCTTTAAACGCAATGAAGTAGTGTGGTTGTCTAGGATGCCCAGTAGTACCCTTATTCCCTTTTTGTAGTCCTAGGTTCCTTATAAAGTTACCCAATACCAAAAAGAGAGGCCTTTTTATTCTTAGGTTACTGGGTATCCTAGTTGTGTTGTGCTGAGGAAGGTTTAGAACTGGTGAGGGATCTTGCTTTTGGCAGTTCTAGCACCCGGAGTCAGCCCTCAATCCCTTTGTTGAGGGTTCAGGTTCCACTAGAACCCCCTTGAAACCAAAAAGGGCACCCTTTTTATTCCTAGGTTACTCTTAGGTCTAGTGCTTGTTCGGTGTTGATCTACGCAGAGATGATCGACGTTGTTTTGTTTGGGGTCTCGGGTCCCGAGAGGTTTAGGGTTAAGGAAAGTAGGTGCAAGGCTCTTAGGATGTTCGTGCAAAAGCTGATCGAGTTGGGGATTTAGCGAGAAGGCAGCAGGGATTTAGTTCATGCAGGGGCCTACACATTTACGAATACAAGTGTGGGGTTGCAGTGTCAGACTTACAGCATCTTAAACCCATTCTAGTTCTAATTATTAAGGCCCCTATAGTAGGCTGTGCAAAATTCCGCTCCACATCTTGATACCACATCTTCCAAGGCACCCCAGGGACGGTAACACAGGGCTCTTGTGATACTGCCAGGGCTTCTCTAACTTATAGCCTCACTTATTGCCCTGTATGAGAACAGAGACATGCTCTTTTGGGGTGAAACCGGGACCCTACTGAGGCCCTACCGTAACGATATAGCTCGCCAATAGGGTAGTACGGTTTATGGCTCACGGGTCAGGGGTTGACATCTTCAGGTTGTTGAGTTGGGTTCAGGGTGCTAGAGGGTTGAATCCAAGGGTAAAAGGAGGGACCCTTAATAAGGACCCCTAGGTATATACCCTTAATATAGCTATTATATACCCATTATATAGCCCATTATAGGGTAGGGGTCCCCATTAAGGGTCCCTCCTTTTCCCCTTTGATTGAAGGTTTCAGGAGGACAAACAGCCCGACATCCTGAAGAGTCAACAGGCTTTCAGGGCAGCGATGTCGAATCCAGATGGCATCAATGTGCGCCTTGCCAATAGTTGATGCTAGATTTAAGGGTTATACCCCCCCAACCCTAAACCCTAAACATTAAACCCCTAAACCCTTAAACCCAAAACCCTAAACCCTAAACATTAAACCCCTAAACCCTTAAACCCAAAACCCTAAACCCTAAACATTAAACCCCTAAACCCCTAAACCCTTAAACCCAAAACCCTAAACCCTAAACATTAAACCCCTAAACCCTTAAACCCAAAACCCTAAACCCTAAACATTAAACCCTGGAGGGGTATCGGTATCGGAAGCAGAGTTCGGCTTATTGGTTTAGGCCTTGGTCGAACCGGTAGCAAGGCAACTCCTTGGCGTTCTTCTGGTTGGCTCTTAGGACTTTAACTTTTTGGGTTTCTATATAAACCATGAGAAGGAGGCTAAAAGTTTAACTTTTAGGAGGGGTTCAGAAGTCAACCAAGACTCGGCATCTGTTTGTGCTGACCCTCGCGCATATGCATCCTGAAACCAGCAAAAAGCAACATGTGCTCTCTTGTCCCCGCCATCCGTCGCTTGCGTGTCAACGTGTCTGTCTGGTTGTCAATTTGTCTGAATGAAATAAAATCAGATGAGATGTGATGAAGCGATTGATTGACGAATCCGAACACGTGTCCAAGTCTCTGCACGCTAAACCTTGCAAGCCTCGTGGTACATGTGGTATTCATCATAAACCCTAAACCCGTAACCCGTAAACCCTGAACCTCTAAAACCCTAAATGGGATTCAGGTGGTGTGGTCAGGTTTTAGCCATGTAGGCGTTGGCAGATTAAGAGGTTGGGGCACGTCTCTTCAGGATCTTCAGGGTTTCGAGTTCAGGGTTTAGTGTAAGGGTTTAGGGTTTGGGGTTTAGGGTTTGGGGTTTAGGGTTTGGGGTTTAGGGTTTGGGGGTTTATATAGGGCCTTAAACCCTCAAGCCCAGACCCATTCAACCGTGAAAGACAGCAAACCAAAAACCCTCATAATCACCCTTGAACGTTCCTTCTCCTGCACTCTAGATGCGCACCAATAGCTACATCATAGTGTTTTCACCGTGGAACCGCTATGATATTCCTCTATGCTGTTGTTGAAGGTGGGTAGTGCTTCTAAGTGGTGGAAGTTGTCTGTGTGTCAGCAGAAACTCGAAACCCAAAATCATAGACCCAAGACCTTCCTTCAGGACCTCCAGAGGAACACTTCAAAGTTAAAGGAGCCTTATGATTTCTCCAAACCCTAAACTCTGCACCCTAAGTACGGCTTCCGAGTAGCAGAGTGGGTGACCTTTAACCTTTCTTGGGTAGTTTAGTCCCTGTACAATCCTTATACAACCAAAAAGGTTAACCTTTGGGTCCCCATGATACCCGACAAGTAGGAACCCATAAAGGAGCCCTGAAACTCGAAGTACACCCTAAACCCCAAGGGTCCAAAGGACCCAATAATCGGGTACTCGGTTTTAGGATAGTAGTTATGTAGGTTAGGATTTTGGAGAGTATATATATATATATATATCTATATATATATATATATATATATATATATATTATTATTATTATTAGGTACTTGGACCCTTGGGGAAAGGGAAGCCTCAACTCCAGATACAAGGCTTCAGGCACCCCTGAGCCCTAAACCTTGTCACTGCAGGAACCCACACCCTGAAAGGAAGTCTTAACTCTACCTACACCCTTTAAAGGTACGCCTAAGCCCGAAGCCCTCAACCCTTGAGGCAACCATGGAAGGAACCCATATCTCAAGAGGTACCCCCCCCCCCTTACTGTCACTAAAGGAACCCATAGCTCGCGACCACACCTTTTAAGGTAGCCGCGTAGCCCCCTTATCACTAAAGGAACCCACAGCTCAAGACTATGTTTTGAATTTAAAACACTCTGTTTTTAATTTTGAATTTAAAACAGAGCCGGAGGATTGACTGGAAGCCCTATGGGCCCAGCAACGGGGCATTGGCCAGCTTTCTGTCCACAGGAACCCTGGCGTCAATGCAGGGTAGGGCTTTTAGGGCTTAGGGTTTAGGGTTTAGTGTTCCCTTGGTTCAGGGTCTAGGCTTTTAGGCTTTGGGAGTTTGGGGTTTCAAGGTCTAGGGGTTTTGGTTGTTCGGGTGTTCGGGGTTTTATACAGTTCCGTTCACAGGAGCCCTGGCGTCTTCGCAAGCAAGGAGGCTTTGTGAGGGTTTTCTTTGTCATAGTTGAGGAACAATTTACTTTCTTATGGATACTTGAACCCAATAAGGATGAAAATATATACATTTGTTTGAACCCAATAAGGATGAACATATATACATTTTTTGAACCCAATAAGGATGAAAATATATGCATTTTTTGAACCCAATAAGGATGAAAATATATACATTTTTTTGAACCCAATAAGGAAGAAAATATATATACATTTTGTTGAACCCAATAAGGATGAAAATATGTACATTTTTTTCAACCCAATAAGGATGAAAATATATACATTTTTTTGAACCCAATAAGGATGAACATATATACATTTTTTGAACCCAATAAGGATGAACATATATACATTTTTTGAACCCAATAAGGATGAAAATATATACATTTTTCGAACCCGATAAGGATGAACTTGAACCCAATAAGGATGAACATATATACATTTTTGAACCCAATAAGGATGAAAATGTATACATTTTTTGAACCCAATAAGGATGAACATATATACATTTTTCGAACCCGATAAGGATGAAAATATATACATTTTTCGAACCCGATAAGGATGAAAATATATACATTTTTTTGAACCCAATAAGGATGAACATATATACATTTTTTGAACCCAATAAGGATGAACATATATACATTTTTTGAACCCAATAAGGATGAAAATATATACATTTTTCGAACCCGATAAGGATGAAAATATATACATTTTTGAACCCAATAAGGATGAAAATATATACCGAACCCGATAAGGATGAAAATATATACATTTTTCGAACCCGATAAGGATGAAAATATATACATTTTTTTGAACCCAATAAGGATGAACATATATACATTTTTTGATCCCAATAAGGATGAACATATATACATTTTTTGAACCCAATAAGGATGAAAATATATACATTTTTCATTTTTCGAACCCGATAAGGATGAAAATATATACATTTTTCGAACCCGATAAGGATGAAAATATATACATTTTTCGAACCCGATAAGGATGAAAATATATACATTTTTCGAACCCGATAAGGATGAAAATATATACATTTTTCGAACCCGATAAGGATGAAAATATATACATTTTTCGAACCCGATAAGGATGAAAATATATACATGTTTTATCCTATCCCAACAATGCAACAATGAACTAGTTGTTCTGCGGTTCCACACACTCGCTGCTTCGGCTCTCAGCCTGAATGATGAGAATAACCTTACAGGGCTTCTTAAAGAGTTCTGTAAGGATCCTTAAAGGGCTGTATCAGGGATCGATAAGGGTTTAGGGTCTATATACTAGGTTCCTGAGTAAGATGGGGTTTCCGGATGCATTTCTCTTCATCCCAGTCTTGGTGTCACAGTGGATATAGGGGCTTAAATAATTACTTATACGATTGTGGGGGTTCCTTATTAATAATTAGAGTCAGAGTATAGTGGGCCCCAAAGCCTTATCCTAATCATTAAGGCCCCTATATTACGTGATGCATGGCCCCGAGTGTCCGGGTCTTGGGCTCTCTGAGTACGCCGCCCTAGGGGTGCTTCTTCTTGACAGACCGGACAGAAGAGCCCAAAACCCCAAAACACCAAACCCTAAGCCTTAAAAAAGCCGGGGTATCTTGCACTATAGCTATAATAATGAACACCCCAAAACACTATTCTAAATATTCAGGCCCCTACATCACAAGCAACTAGGATGCCCAGTAGTACCCTTATTCCCTTTTTGTAGTCCTAGGTTCCTTATAAAGTTACCCAATACCAAAAAGAGCGGCCTTTTTATTCTTAGGTTACTGGGTATCCTAGTATTATAGTACCCTTATAGACCCCCTTATAGTAACCCCATATAGATCCCTGGAAAGGAACCCTAGTAAAGGGACTGGGTATCCCAGACAAGCAGTGAAAGACCGAAAGCCTGAACCCAAGCCCTGATGTCTCACAGAACCCATAAAGGGAACTCCAGAAAGTTGGAATATGGTTTCATGGTAGGATACCCTATAATTTACCATAGAAGGGTAAGGATAACCATAATCTAGGACCTGGAGTAGGCCCTTATTCCCTTTGTTTAGGGTTCAGGTTCCCTTAGAAGCCCCTTTAAACCAAAAAGGGCAGCCTTTTCATTCCTAGGGTACTCTTAGGTCTAGTAATCATAGATTCTGTAAGGGGGAATTTGACGCTGAGCCCTCATAGAACCGTTATGGTAACCCGAAACGAAGACCTTCGGAAAATCACAGGAATCCGACGTCTTGGAGAGTTGATTGGTGTCTTTTGCACCCAGTTGCCCCCTGAGTGCCTGGGCGATGTTGGATTTCCGGTTTGGGGGTTGGTTGCTTAGGGCTCAAGGGGTGCAGGGTTCAGGGGTTTAGGAGGGTTTGGGGGCTTAGAGTTCAGTCAGGGTTTACCTTAGCATCATGCCCAAAAGCTTCCCTCTTTCAGAAACTACATACAAGGAAATTCTTAGCCACGGACCTAAGTGGAATTGAAGTTAGGCCTTGGAGTTGTATAGGTGTCTTCGGGATTCAGGGAATTCGGTGTTTATAATCTGCAGATTTCGATGTTCAGGATGCTGCACTTTTGGACCTTCGAGAAGGTGGGGATTAAGGAGTTCAGGATTTCTAGGGTTTGGAAGCTAAGGGTTCTGAAATTGTGGGTTTAGGGTTTCGGGCTCGGGATATCAAGGTCTGACGAGTTGGAGCGGTGTCGATGCTTGAGGTTCTGTTTATATCCCAGCCTTAGGCCGCGAAAGACAGGTGCAGCATTTGGCTTGCACTTTGTAGGGTTTAGGGGTTTAGGGTTTAGGGGTTTAGGGTTTAGGGCTTTTAGTCTGGATTGTGCCGTTTTCAGGCACCGCCACCTGGTGGTCTTTAAGACAAACATAGTTCTAATATCCGAAATAGTCATAATACGAACCATAGTACGAATACTCATACTTCATACTCAGGCTCATACACATACCAATTTCAAGACCAGTACCAGTACGAATACCAATACGAATAAGCAGAAGAACAATGAAGAAGTACAATGAACATAGTAATAGTCATAACAATAATTCTGAATCGCAATATCAATAGCATGAATAGTGAAAATACAACAATCATAATGGCAATAGTAGTTAGATCGCTAGGCCCGGGAGTCAACATATTGGCATGAGGAACCTGTAAGCCTAAACCACCATTGGGTTTAGGATCTTGGGTTTGGGCTCAGGAACCCGAGACCCTGAACCCTGGCCTAGACCGTGACCGAAAACCTCTGTATCAACCCTGAGAACTTAATTAAGCCCGAATTCAACGGTGGGCTCACAGCGGCAACCTTAGAACCTCAGTATTTGGAGTTCCTCCGTTGAAAGGCTCTACAACTGGGCTATCAGGTTTCAAACTTGTGGGGCTATAAGGGCTCGTAACTTGTGATAAGCAGGCTTCTTCATTTTGAGGCAAATTCTTTCCTTAGCTTTGAGAAGCCCCCTCGAGGTTCACCCCTCGCGACTCGGCCATTGCGCTAAATCAGACTTTAGATGAAATGCACGACGTGCCCTGGCTGCGTTCCGACTTGCTAGGAGCTGGGTTCAAAATCTGGAACTGAAAGGGTCCTAGGTACTATTACGGGGACTACTTTCCCAAGTCATATTATCAATACGTACTGGGCTGTGGCCTGGGTGTGGGGGGTTTTGCTTGCTTACAGGGTTTGCCTAGGTGCTAGCGGTTTGGAGGTTTGGATTTTCGATGTTGCTCTATGCAAATGTAACGTAAGCGTAAATGTAAGTTTTTTTGTGTATGTATGGATGGATGCATGGATGGCTGGCTGGAGGGCTGGCTCGCTGGCTGGGTGGATGGGTGGATGGGTGGATGGGTGGATGGGTGGATGGGCGGATGGATGGATGGATGGATGGATGCGTGTGTACGTGTGTACGAGGCAAGTGTGCATGTATACATGTGTCCATCACCGGCAGGTGTATGCTGTACTTTGATACATAGGTGTACAGGTATGTAGGCAGGTAGACTATGCAAGCTTGTGGCCCCCCGCAAGCAGAACCGCAGGTGTCATTGTAAATGCTACAATATATAATCGGCCGCCGGCCAACCCTTTCACTTGCTGAATAGGTTGGTTTGATGTCGGGCGTTCAGGCTTTGGGGTTTGAGGGCCTTGGAGCGTTGTGACTTAAGTGTGAAGCCTCATCAGGCAGCCTTGAACCATGTTGCATCTATATAAGCCTGCGAGGAATGCCAAAGCTATCAGAACCCTAAACCCTAAACACTAAACCTGGGTTGTTCAGAACCTGCCGGGACCACATTGAACCCGAGGACCATTGCTCTAAACTCTACAGTAGAAGCCAGAAAGTTGGAACATGAATTTAGGAGGATTAGTACTAGGATCCCTTATCCTTTACCTTAAGGGCATGAGGATACTAATGTTCCAACTTTCTGGCTTCTACCATAAACCGTCAACCTGCAACCGAAACCCATTTTTCATGACCATCTTATCCCGTAAACCAGGTTCTGTGGGATTTCCGATACGGAAACAATGCAAGAGCAATTTTGCCACCGGCGTCCCAAAGCCGCTTGGCAGGGCCAAGAGCGCAGGGATGTCCATTCATGCTTGGGGTTTAGGGTTTAGGGGTTTAGGAGGTTGGTGGAACGTTCCGAGGGCGTGCAGAACTATGTAGCTGCTACTGCTGCCACGGTTTTTCTGATTAAAATGTTACAACAACCACTGCTACTAGGACTACTGCTGCTGCGAGTGCAGGCGCCGATACCCTAACACCTTAAACCCTTAGCACTTCCGCAGCTGCAAAACCCTGAAGCCGTAAACTTGCCCGCAACCCTAAAGCAGTAAAGCCCAAGACCCTATGACCCCAAAAGGCCAAGACCCTAAACCCCTCACCTAACTTCAGAACCTTAAACAGTAAGGCCCTAACCCGTTCCAAGGCACCACGAACGCGCTCTTCAATGCCAGCGACATTTGGGTGGGGTCGGGACCTCAAATTATCCCTCACAGAGATGGCCCTGACGGTGCCCGACATTTCGAGTTTAGGATGTAGGGTTTAGGGTTTAAAGTTCACGGTTCAGGGTTCCCGCTGCCACTCCTGCTACCGGCACTGGTACTGGCACTGGCACTACTGCTCACGCTATTGCTACCGGTTCCGCTACCGCTAGCGCGCTACTGGCTGCCGCTACTGCTGCTGCCACTCCAGGCAAGCGTTGCATGCATGTCCCGTGGATGAAATCACAGCGGTGAGCGAGTGTTAAGTAGTGTGCATCACAAAACCTGATGGTCCCTCTGAATCCAGAGCCGCAGATCATTGCGCATGTTGCAGCCGCAGTCCGCCGCCCTCCAGCTTGGAGCAGGGGACGACGAGGTTCATCGAGGATGGGGCATTGTGCGAGTCTCTGTGCGGTGTAGCCGTGGTATTCCTGGACAATGTGCACGAGCTGAAGTGAAAGTCGAGATCAGCGGCACGGACAATTAATGCAAGAAGACGGCTAGTGACAGGAAAATCTCCAAGGTGACGAGTGAGGCCTCCATGCAGACGAGCCCATGCGCCCGTCATGAATGTTTGGGAACCTCACAGTCGTCCTGCTGCTGCTGCTGCTACTACTGCTACTGCTACTGCAACAATTACGAGAGGACGAGGACGACGACTACACCTCTACTATACTACTCTGCTACCATGCTACTATACTACTACTACTACTACTACTACTACTACTACTACTACTACTACTACTACTACTACTACTACTACTACTACTACGACTACTACGACTACTACTATTTACTACACTACTGGACTACTATACTACTATGCCACTATACTACTATGTTACTACATTACTGGACTACTACTGGACTACTATACTACTAAGCTACTATACTGCTATACTACTATACAACTATACTACCTTACTACTTTGCTGCTACTGCTGCTACTCCGAGTACTACTCCTACTACTACCACGACGACTACTGCTACTACTACTACTACTACCACTACTACTACTACTACTACTACTACTACTACTACTACTACTACTACTACTACTACTACTACCACTCCTGCTGCTGCTGCTGCTACTGCTGCTGCTGCTGCCACAGCTACTGCTACTACGACTACTTCTACTGCTACTTCTACTACTGCTGCTACTACTACTACTGCTACTACTACTACTACTACTGCTGCTACCGCTACGGCTACGGCTACGGCTACGGCTACGGCTACTACTACTACTACTACTACTACTTCTACTACTTCTACTTCCACTACTACTACTACTACTACTACTACTACTACTACTACTACTACTACTACTACTACTACTACTACTACTACTACTACTACGACTACGACTACTACTACTACTACCACTACTACTACTAGTACTACTACTACTACTGCTGCTACCGCTACGGCTACGGCTACTGCTACTGCTACTACTACTACTACTACTACTACTTCTACTATTTCTACTTCCACTTCTACTACTACTACTACTACTACTACTACTACTACTACTACTACTACTACTACTACTACGACTACGACTACGACTACTACTACTACTACTACTACTACTACTACTACTGCTACTTCTACTGCTACTGCTACTGCTACTGCTACTGCTACTGCTACTGCTACTGCTACGACGACTACTACTACCACTACTGCGCCTATTTGTTTCATTGCTGTTGCAACAACGACGGCAGCGACGACAACTGATACTACATACCACTGCGACAACGACGACGGTTTCGACGACTGCTACTGTACTACGATCACCTGCAATACCACCACTGCTGCCGGTTCTGCTGTTTCTCCTGGTGGCGTTGCTTTAGAAGTAAATCTCAGCTAATGCAATCTGCGGCCCGATTTTTGCAATGTGCCATTTTGTTCTGACCCAAAGCAGTTCGATTCTTGAGTCGACAATTAGGGCAGCTGGAAGGGGCGATAAAGATTTGAATCACGCAGTTTACCTTTCCAGTATTCTCCGTTTCAGCGGCAACCGACACGATTTGCGCCAGGTTTTGTCCTGCAGGGTCTCGTTCTGTGTGCCGGGTGACCTGTGACCTGTGCATGAGTACAATATAGGTGGACAGAAACGGACATTGGGGACATTCGTGAAGTGCACTTTCAGATACCCATAGGACGCGTTTCAAACCGCCTTCAGAAATCCTGAAGAAACACTAGGCCTCGACAATCCCTTCATAGGAAGCTTGTACAAGGTCTGTAGAAGCTTGAAGAAGCCGCCAAGAAGCTTTGCAGAGGCCACAAAAGCCCGCGAAGAGTCCTTCGCAAGTTGTTATCGCGAGTGTGCCATGTTGCGCTTCATGAAAGGAATGGTTTTCAAAATTGGTCATTCCAGGATGTAGGGTTGTAAATCATCAGCCATATATTGCTACCACGGTATCTGGAACCACACTCCTGAACAAAAGCATAAACCCTAGATTCATGCAGCCGCTGAACAGATTTCGTTCATGGAGCCACGGCGAAGACTGCACCAAACGATATATAATCAAGCACACGAAGACTTGTTTCAAACTCCTTGAGCATTGCGGGCCTCAATAATCCCCACACTCAGACTCACAGAACAACCTCGCGTAAACCCTAAACTCTAAACCGCCACCTTCGTGCCATCCTGCTTCTGAAAACTTCATCATGCGCGGGTTACCGTTAACTGAATTTGCCAAACATTTCACGTGGGTGTTTCTTCGGCAACATTCTTCGCTTGATTACTAATGAAGTCCAACGGGTGATCAACAAATCATTATTTAGCTGAAAGCCACAAGTAATGGCAGAGGTTCGACGACGAGCTTCATGCGACGCCCACAGTTGAGGCGCCTCTATGTGTAAGGTTCCCAGAGACTCCAATATCCCTTAATTAAGGAATATTCCTTACATCAGATTAGGGATCCTACTATAACTTAAGGAATATTCCTTAATTAAGGGATATTGGAGTCTCTGGGTTGAGTTGGCGTTTGCACCGGATTGCAGAGGTCGTCCTTCATGTGTGATGCTCGGGCTGATCCAAAACCTTGCGCTTTACGGCTGATGGACAAAATCCTGCATGACCCTATGGACTCTAAACTATGGGAACTATGGTATATTCCTTATAATGGGTAATGCAGGATTTTGTCCATCAACAGTAGCACCTCAAGAAAGGATTATATGTCTCAGCTTTGTGGGCGCTGGAGGATTGTTTGGAAGTTAGCTTCGCAGGCCTTAAACCCTTCGCATGCATAAAGCCCTCACGCTCGAGAGATCCGCACAACTTGCCTGGATCCGTGCTCAATGGATCTGGGGATTGGGCAACTAGTACGGCAACTAGGTGCCACTAGATCATCAGCACGATTGCCGCGGGGAGGGTGGGGAGAACAACTCGCAAACTCCACTTCTAGTTGGTAAAGCCTGCGAGCCCAGAGACTCCAATATCCCTTAATTAAGGAATATTCCTTAAGTTATAGTAGGATCCCTAATATGATTTAAGGAATATTCCTTAATTAAGGGATATTGGAGTCTCTGGGAAGCCCGACAATCCGAAGCCTTTTCAGCCCTGAAGCTCAAGGCTGAAACCTCGATTTGTTGTCGACACCTCCGGTTCCCATAGTTGTCAAAGATGGGCCTTGCCGGGCCAAATGGCGGTTGGCAGGGTTTAGGGGTTTGGGGCTAAATCCTGAAATTTAGACCCTAAACTTTAAAATTCTAGCTCTAACCCTTAACCTTTAAGCCCCAACCCTAGAGCCGGGGTTTCAAGAAACGCATGGGCAGCCTTTCTGGGTAAGTTCATCCTTAGCAGTTTTCCCTGAAGCTGCAGGGTTTGGGTTTTAGGGCTTCGGTGGGCCAGGTGCACCATTGCTTGCGTGCCACGGTATGCCACGATGTTTTTTTTTTCAGGACCTCGCTCACTGCACCAATTCCCATACTGACTAGAGGCAGAAGTTCAAACCAAAAGCCTTTTCCGTTAATGCTGGCACCACAGCGCAACTAGGCACAGGGGGACCGAAATACGCTTGGTAGAATCGTCCTTCCAGTTGGCACCAAAGCCTTCGCACTGAGCGTGTCGTGCCGCCCTAAAAACGCAGCCCAAACCCTACAATTAGGTCTGAAGCCCGAATCGTTAAATCCATATTCCTGAACCCACTACATTCCTGGAAGCTCCAGATTTGGCAGGCATTGAAGACCAGGACAGCATTGCTCAACCCTCTCAAACGCAAGGAAATGCCATTCTTGTAGACCCTTGGCAGATAACCATAATGGGTCTTTGGGTACGGCCCCCACTCAGTAATAGTTGCATAATATTCATAATATAGTCATATTAGGACCTTAATAGTAGCCCTATTATAGACTCTTACTGTATGGGGGCAGTACCTAATAAGGTCTACGAGTCCAAGATCTGGCAGGCATTGAAAACTGTTCTCAGCCATTCCAACGACTTCAGCGATCTATCACAGGTGCCATGTGTGCATGGATATACGGTTTAGGATTTGGGGCTTTGACTTTAGCTTTAGGGTTGAGAGTTTGAGGGTGAGGGGTTTCGGGATGTTGCATCTGCCGTTTCGGGGACATGACAAAGCTTTGGAATCTGGACTGTGTCATGCATCGTAGCCGGCGTCAATACCATCATCGTATGCTTCCTCATCATCGTCGTCATCCTCATCACCGGGTTATTATCATCGCCACCAGAATAACTGTTCCATGACACATGATGATCAACGGGATTTGTTATCGAGCACGGACGATGTTGTCTTCTTCAACACCAGCGATGTGTAAATTAGTGGCGGTTGGTGGTATCAGTGCTGGTGTTTTCGGTGTGATCGTTGTCTTGGTTGTGGGTGGGTAGTGGTCATCGTTCCAGAAGCGGTTGTAGTAGAGGTTGTAGACCCAAAACCCTAAACCCTAAACCGGAGCACGTACGCTCTTCCGTGAGGGTGATGGTGCTGTCCTTGGTGAACCTGATCCTGCTCGTCCGCGTGATCGAAGTCGTAGCCGGGATGATGGGTCTGTCGTCTCTCCCAATAGTCGACGTCGAAGGCACCTTGAGGAAGTGGACTGAGGGCATAGAGTACATGTGATCTTCGCTGTCGACGACTATGTCTTCTGAGAGTGCCATTTGTAGTGTAGGCCGACTCAGGCTGGACAATTTCGGAGAAAGGGTCCACTGCACTTTTAAAAAAAAACCCTAAACCCTTAACCCAAACCCTAAACCCCTAAACCCTAAACCCTAAAGCCCTAAACCCTAAACCCCTAAACCCCTAAACCCTAAACCCTGTGGCCTTTTTGAGTGGCCGCTGGCACACGAATTGCGGGAGACTGGCCCGGGGCTTCGGTGCGCGAGTGCACCCAATAATTGCGGCTGATGAGTGGCTGATGATGTAAATCCTAAGGTTCCTTTAAAGATGCCAATTAAGGGTACGTTGAAGGGGTTCCTTTAAGGGATCTACAGGGCTTTGGGGTTTAAGGTTTAGGATTTGGGGTTGATGATATATACATCCTGCATGACCTTAATGACCCTCGACAATGGGAATTTTGGTATATATATGTGTATATTCCTTATTATGGGTAATGCAGGGTTTATATCACCAACCGAAAAGTGCGGGACAGTTGCCTTTTCAGGATGGTAAGGGTGAAACTAACTCGGCAGGCCAAGGAGTTACGTACACCCTACATAGCTTAGGGCTTATGATGTAAACCGTGGGTTTAGGATATAGGGATATTTAGGGTTTATGATGTAGTATAGGTTTCTAGGTATAGTATAGGGTTTAGGGTATCATGATGTAGTTCATTGTGCGCCATCCCATGGATCAGCAGTCTTATGCTTGGCGTCGCTGTGTCATGCTAGGTCGTACAGGGTGTGCAGCTGTTCGGCCGCACTGTAGGGCAAGCCGGCACCGTTAGGGTTTGGGGCTTAGGGTTTTACCTTGCAGTAAAGTTCTAAGCTGTAGTACGCTATGATGCGCTTAATAGAGCTATTATACACCCATTATATAGCCCATTATAGGGTAGCCCCAAATCCTAAACCCTAAATCCTCAAGCCTCAAACCCCAAATCCTAAACCCTAAACCCTCAAGCCTCAAACCCCATATCCTAAACCCGGTGCTGTGGCTCTTACCATGACCCGAGTCTTGAAGAACTAAGTGCCGCCTGTGCTGTGGAGTCATTGTGGAGCGAACTTGATGTGTGAATCGGTGTCTAGCGGTGAGGGTCTTGGAGTCAGGGTAACCTTGATTGCCTGAATCCTGCTCATAGACCCTGTAAACCCTGTGCAACCCCAACTTGAGGGTCCAGGTGATAGTCATGTACTCTCCTATGAGTATCCTAGACAGACATACCGAATTACACCCAAACCCTCAGATTGTACAGGTACCCTCCATTAATGCTACAACCCTAAACCCATGAACCTTCAAGCCTTGAAACTTAAGCCGTTACCCCCTAAACCTTCAACCCCAAACCCATCTAAACGCCAACCCCTGCACCTTAAACCCTCGAGCACTAAACCCTGAAACTCCTAACCAACCCCTAAACCTTCAACCCCAAACCCTAAACCCCAAACCCTAAACCCTAAACCTTAAACCCGAAACCCCCTAAACTCCTAACCTTTCGCAGGCCCTCGGTGCGGAGTTGTTGGCGAAGGCCTACGCCAACCAGCCGACCTTAGAAGGCTCGCCCTTCATCTCGATTTTTGGGGTTCAGGGCTTTAGGTGTTCACCTTAACCTACCAAACCCAACTTTTTTGTAGGTTCTTATTCTAAACCTTAATATGGAATTTATAGGGACCCTACAAAAAAGTAGCTTAGAAGGCTCGCGCTTCCTTGGCGTTCTTCTGGTTGGCTCTTAGGACCTTTGAGGGGATCCTGTAAGGGATCTATAGGGGTTAGGGTTTGGGGGTTCAAGACTCAATTTTTTTTTGGGCTTCTATATAAACCATAATAAGGAGGCTAAAAGTTTAGCATTCAGGAGGGGTTCAGAAGTCAGCCAAGCTTCATTTCGGGTTTAGGAGTTCAGGGCTTTAAGTGTTTACGGGTTTGGGGGTTTAAGGCTTTAAGGGTTTAGGGCTTTAGGTGCTAAGGGTTTGGGGGTATAGGGTTTAGGTATTTCTGGCTCTAGGGGTTGTAGGTTTACGGTTTAGGTGTTTAGGGCTTCTGGGGTTTAGGGTTTATAGGTGTTTAAGGGTTTATGGCTTTAAGGGTTTAGGGTTTAGGTGTTTAGGGTGTAGCGGTTTAGGATTTAGGGGTTTAGGGGTTTGGGGGTTTCGGGTTTAGGTAGCCACTGGGTATCTCCCTTACTTTAACCCTAAACACCCATATGGGTAGTTCTCAACTCGGTCTATAAAACAGTACGGCACCCTTGAAAAAGGGCCCTAAAAGGGACCTTATTTTGGATAGCTACCTGTATATACAAGCAATATGTTCAGGTCCCAAGAGCCATAATGACACCCTATAGTGAACCCCAGAATGTTGGAACATGGTTTAAGGATGATGTGTGCTGGGTTTCCGTATACCTTACCTTGAGAGCATGAGGATAATGATGTTCGAACTTCTTGCATCCTACTATTAGCCTTCAAACTCAAAGCCCTAGATGTTTGAGGGCGAGATCCCACACCCAGTAGTGGTTCGAGGATGAGCTTGAGGCTTCCTTCAACCAAGTTTGCCCTACACTCCTTAGGGTTTAGGGTTTAGGAGCTTAGGGTTTAGGGTTTAGGGGTCCTTAAACCCCAAATCCTAAGACCGCAACCCTGCAACCCTAAACCTTCCTTCAGCTTGGTGTTTAGCTCACATCACACATGCTGCTGACGTGAGCCGCTGCGATTAGATCCGTTTCATGCATCTACTGTCAGAAGCACTGCGAGTATTTTTTGTGATTCTGGCCAGAGCAGGGGTTCTGAACGCAAAGAGGATTTTGGGGCCTAGGATTTGAGATGTCGTTCAACTGACAAGGTTTAGCACGTAGGATGTTGTTCAGCTGGAGAGAAACCCTGAACCCTTAATGTAGTATACGGGACACGTTCGTTACTTATATTCTTGCTTCGGGTTACTTCCTCTGCCTGTAGCTGTAAAGTACCACAACGCCATACAACGCCCCATTCCAGGTTGGAAGGCGCACTACATTGCTGTCAGACCCACCCGTAAAGATTTAGGGTTTAAGTTTTAGAACCCTAAACCAAAGCCCTAAGGCCCTCAACCGTAGCTCTTCCATAGGTGCGCGGATCTTGATGTCCAGTGATCAAATGTCGCTCGGCTGCAGATTGCAGTCGCGACTGCCATGGTATCGGGTTTAGGATTTGCGGTTCAAGGTTGAGTAGGGCATACAAACCCTAAAACCTAAACCCTATATTATAGGTGTTGTCTGAAAGCAATTAGGCAGACATTCCGGATTCTCCCAATTTCGAGTCACAGGATATGGGGGGGGCGTTCTCAAGACTCGGGGTCCTTGACAAGAAAAACTGCTCGTAGGGTCAGAAATTAGGGTCGGAAGAATCAGCAAAGATGTTGGAATAGATTCAGTTGTTAAGGCTCCTAAACCCCAAGCCTGACATTATCCCAGCATATCAGGGACGGAGAGGGTGTCGATGCCAGAAGATGGAGTTCAGGCGGCCATTGCACTTAGACCCATGACTTCATCCACACCTGAGACCCTCGACCCGGCACCTGTTAGGGGCCCCAAGGTAGGCCACTGTCCTTTCAAACGGGGACTGTGCAAGGTCGACGTGGCACACGGGAAATCCCGTGCACCATAAAACTCTGAACCTTTATAAACCCTAAACTTCCTGCTTCCCCCAAAATGGCGGCTGTTCTCTTAGCACGGTTCCCTCCACCATTAGTAACAGGCAGCTCCCTGCACGTCATGAAAGATTTGCGAAAGGGCCCTGACAGGAAAGTATAGAGCCTTGAACTCTGATTGTTTCGCGGTAGAAATACGATTCTCTTACAAGTGTCCTTAGCAATCTGGATTCGGGATCGCCCCTAAACCCTAAAGCTCTGTATAACCCTAAACCCTAAACCCCTAAACCCCTAAACCCCTAAACCCTAAACCCTAAACCCAAAACCCTAAACCCTAAACCCTAAACCCTACTTATTCAGACAAGGAAGGGTCGGCCGGAGGTTTCTAGGGTTTTCGGTCTGGAATGTTGTGATACAGTGTATCGGTTTAGGGTTTAGGGTTTAGGGTTTAGGGTTGGTGATACACGAAGGCCACACCCCCTAAATGCTAGCTAGGACATGGTCATGATATAGTCATCCTTCAGGACTGTATATAGGAAACTCCAGAAAGTTGGAATATGGTTTCATGGTAGGATACCCTATAATTTACCATAGAAGGGTTAGGATAATCATATTCCAACTTTCTGGCTTTTACCTTAAGTGCTCCAGGCACGCAGCCATGAACGCCAACAGACCCGAACCATGCCTACACAGGCCCAGAAACCCTAAGATACAAACTCTAAAGGGTTTCAGGAAAACCCTAAGATCCCTAAGCTTCGGGATTAGGGTTTAGAGTTTCGGGATCACGGCTTGGGGATTCGGGTTTAGGGACTACGGTTTTAGGATAACGCCTTTGGTGTCAGGCCCAGCATGGAAGTTTCCGAAAATCAGGGGTACATCATTTTGGGGTCCTTGAAATAAGGATCCTACTATTTGAGGTATCATGTATTAGGGTCCCCTGTTTTTGGAAACTCCCACGTAGTGAATAAGTCCTAAACCGTCAACCCTAGACCGTGAATGCCAGGGCTACTTTGCAGCACATGGAGCGGGATGTGGTGCTATTGGCTATGGGCGATTTCGACCAGGTTAGGACGGGCAGCTCGTCGTGCAGGATTAGAGCTTTGAGTTTAGGGATTAGGGGTTTAGGGGTTTCGGGTTTGGGTTTTTTGGGTTTAGGCTTTATTGTTTTAGGGGCTAAAATATTTAGTACTACACGTTCTCGCCACTTGCAGCTCTTTCAGCTTCCAGCTTAGACAGCAAACCCGCAACCCTCAGTCTAAATTCCTCGACTCAAAGCCCGCACAGAAGCAGCATGTCCCGAACTAGAGCTTAGGGCTGTGTGTATATGGGATATGGGAGTTTGGGAAAATGAGCGACCCAAACTAGACTCTAAATAAGAAGACCCTTACTATAAAGATCCCTAGATAAGGTGCCCCTAGTTCCCAAAATGGATGTGCAGGGTTAGATCTCTTGGCCCTTGTCTTGTGTCTTTTGGGATTTTGAGTTAGGGACTTGTATCCGAGATTTGGAAAGCGTCGTGAATGCTAAAATAGAGGCCATAACCCCCAACATAGTATAATGTAGGAACCTGATGAAGAAACTCTGGCCCTATAACCCCCAAAATAGTAGGATTCATGCGGGTGGTTGTCAAAATTTGGGCCCCTTTTTGGGTACCCTAAATATTAATTGCCGTACTATATTCGTGACCCAAAACAGGGACCCTAATTTTGACAACCACCCAGTTTTATGGGTACTTAAAACCCAATAAGGAATAAACATTGTATATTTTCAATCCTATCTCAAGCATGAACTAGGTTCAGGGCTCTTGGGTTTTAGGGAGTTGCAACAACCACACATGTAAGGAACCCACTAACCCCCTGCTTAAGCCACGCGCAGCACAGCAACTCCAGGCTCCGGTGTCATCTTCCTGCATCAGGCATCGAGCCTTAAGCCGAACTACAAAGAATGTCCCTACCCATAGGCTCCATAGTAGTTCCTTTTTGGGGTTCAAAAATAGAATCCTGTAAGGTAACCCCAAAAAGGAACTACTTTGGAGCCTCTGGGTAAAGCCTAAACCCCCTTATCCCTACTTAAATCTAAGCCATCGAACCTTAAAACCCTAAACCCTAAACCGTAAGGAGCCACCGAAAATCACAAAAGCGTCGTCAGAGCCCCAACCTGAACCACACCTCACGCCCCAAAAAAAAGTCCGAGCATGCGAGCACGAGCCCGAGCTTGGGCTTTAGAGTTTCGAGGTTTAGGGTTCACGGTTTAATTATAGAAGCCCAGAAAAAAACCCTAAAACCTGCATTCTAATCATCAAGGCCCCTATATTCGGGTTTACCTCTCCTCCACAGAGACTTCGAATTAAAAGGCCGAGCCCGAATGCGACCGCCAACCCGGACAACCCCAACCACTACCCGTGTCTAGAAGACAACAGGGTTTAAGGTTTAGGGTTTAGGGCTCGGTTTAGGATAGTAATAGTAGTAGGTTAGTAGGATTTGGGAGAGTATATGATTATTGGGTACTTGGACCGTTGGGGAACGAACCTGTGCCCCGATCGCCTGAAATGGCCTCCATAGATGTATAAGTCTATAGTTTAGATACTCCAAATGCCACTGAACCAATTCCATTTCCTAAACTCTACACTGCATAAAAACCCTTGATTACCCTAAACCCTAAACCCTACCCTGACCCCGAAACCCTTGTTAGTAAGGTTTAAGGCTTAAGCTTTAGGTGCGTAAGCCCAAATCCCAGAGAGTTCCCATGCAACAATAAGTACATGGTATACCCCAAAGCCGTAATTTGAGGTAATCTAGGGCCCTAGAAGGTTCCTTGTTAAAGTGTAGTTATGGTATAATATACCCCGAAAGCGTACTCTAATCATTGCGGGCCCAATTCGGCGCTAAACGAACACATATAACGAACCCTTAAAGCAGCCCGGAAATGAGCCTCAGCCCTAAACCTTTACACCCCAAACCCTTACACCCTTGAACCCTGCACCCTCAGACCATAAACCCTTAAACCCAAAAACCTAAACCTTAAACAGTCCTGCAAGGATTCCCTCAGTTGATAGAGCACTTCGAGGATAATCAGAGAGTGCTTCTGACAGGGAACATGGGCCGGCGTTTCTTGGTCTGCTGCTGTAGGATAAGGGGTTTAGTGCTCCGGGCTTGGGGCTTTACGAAGTTGAGGGTTTAGGAGTTTAGGGTTTAGAGTTCCGGGTTTAGGATTTAGGAGTTTAGAGTTTCGGGTTTAGAGTTTTAGGGTTTAGGTTTGCGAGCTTACAGTGCTTGTCCCATCCATACCACCAGGGTCCTCGTATCTCCTTGGCAGGTGCGGTAGTCTCGTAAGGGGAGCCCTTGAGGCAAACCGTGGGGATCTAAGGACTCATATATGAAGGCTTCTGGGCCCAAAGACCATACTATGTGAGGCTTTTGGGCTATTTTGATCCCTAGGGAGATCCCAACATGAAATTTGAAAATCTACTTGCGGAGGACCTCAAGTCCCACCTGGGGGCGGGATTCAGTAAAGAGGTTGAAGGCAGTGCAGAAATTGTGGGGTTTAGGGTTTAGAAGCCTGTTAACGGCATGCTTACTATCTGCCCTCAGGCTTTGCAAAGTGCAGGTGGGCCGCAGAGAGGACGGAATCTCGCATTGCGGAACCAGGTTCCTACCATGGGGACCCATCCTCACCCAAAGCCCTTGATGTTTTCACCTCTGGTCGTAAATACATATACCCTGAAACCCTCAACCTTAGATTCTGTACTCTAACCCGCAAACCCTGAAAGACAAACTCCGAACCCAGGCTGCAGCGAGTTTCTTGAATCCAAGTAGGCCGTACAGCAAACCCCAGAAAGGTGGAACATGGCTTTAGGAGTGCTGGGATCCCTTATACTTTACCTTGGGGCATGAGGATAATGATGTTCCAACTTTCTGGCTCCTACTGTAGCTCCCACACCTTCATAGCGTTTACCACTCCCCAAACTAACAGCCATACGACTGGCGCTGATAAGCCGGAAACGCTAATGCCCAAAGCTCCAAGGGAAACCCCAAACCGTCAACCTTGGCCGTGTAGATTTGAGGTCGGAATGGTTTCCCCCGTTTCCTCAGAGCAATGTATATAGAAATGCCTATACTGGGCTTTGGAGTACCGTACTTTAATACTTTTTCTTAAAGGAACTGTTATGGAATAGAAGTTTATACTTTTTTATCCTGGTTACTAAAAAGCCCAGTATAATTTTCCTTACAGAACCTTGAAAGAATTGCAAGCACTACTTGTTGCGTACATTGTGAGTCACGAAAGCCGAGGTTTGGCAATGACGGACATACCTGAGACTCTTGGCAGGGCATCTTCTCTGGCGTAAAGAACGGGTCGTTGAACATAAGACGATGCAGCATCGGGTTTGGGTTTTGGGCTTTGGGGCTCGAGGTGTAGAGCGTTGAACACCAAGTAGAGGCTTCCTTTGAGGGTTGCTGATAGGGCTTTATAGAGGTTTCATAGCCTAATAAACATGCCCGCTCATGCATACTAAGCCTAATCTGCATTTACCCACACTGCAAAGCCACCTATCGAACGGCAGGGTATCTGGGCCGCCGGGCTGGAAGGAAGCCCCTAAAAGGAGCTGCAAGTGAGGCTCAGAAAACGCTGACGGCCGCGAACCCTCTACAGCCGAAGTCCTGAACCCCACACCTTGTGCCTTATGCCAATAAACTCACAAGATTCGCACCACTGAAAGATGCGAGGCCAAAAAAACTCCATAAAGTTGAAACGGTCCTGAAGGCACGAGCTTGAGAATGAATTGGGCGGGCGGGTTCGCTGAAAAACTCGCCCTAGTTTGAGGAGCTTACTATTCAGAGTTTTGCAAGGGTTGGCTTTGAAGCTTCGGGTTTAGGGCCTCATATTCCGGAGCCAATTACTTGGGGATCTGTCTTACAGTGTGTTTTTTTTGCAGAATCGTCATAAACCTCCTGTCGCACCATGTCCCTTGTCCCTTTTGGGACAGCTTAAGATGGAGGCTTCGATAAGGGATTGCGTCCCGGAGTTCTTTAAGCCAGTTTTGAGTATCTAGCCTTTACTTGCTGTATTAGGTCATGCCTGGGTGTCTGTCTCTCTCTCTCTCTCTCTCTCCCTCTCCCTCTCCCTCTCTCTCTCTCTCTCTCTCTCTCTCTCTCTCTCTCTCTCTCTCTCTCTCTCTCTCTCTCTCTCTCTCTCTCTCTCTCTCTCTCTCTCTCTCTCTCTCTCTCTATATATATATACATATGTGTACACACAAAACTTACATACTTATAAGCCTGCATGTGGAAAGGTTTGCATAAACGCATGTGTTCATGCCTTGGGTCGGGTCGGCTGGGACTGTCCCGGAATCCCCAACAAGTTTTGGTTTTAGAGTTTTAGGGGTTAGGGGTTTAGGGTTTAGGGTTAAGGGTTTAGGGTTTAGGGTTTTGATGGTTCGCTTCTGAACCCTTCACACCCTAATGCTGAGGGCGGATAGCTTCGAAGCCGAGCGACTGCTGGAAGCCTTGGATGAGAACTGGGCAAATTTGAGTCTCGGATTGGATCTCCCTGTCGTCCCTGTTTTAGCTTAATTAGGGACCCAAAAAACACATAAGCATAAGCATTGTATGGGGATATCCCTACCTTATTGGGCTTCAGTAGAAGGGGATTTATATTGGCTATCCCTATCGTAATTGTTGCTTATGTGCTTTTTTGGGGCCCTAAATTTAAGATAGCATTTTTTGAAAAGCACAACATACTCTGAAACGAGTCTAACTCAGAGGCCTCTGTTCCACGGTCTAAGAGTTCAGGGGTCACCATGGTGTCCACTACGAACTTTTTTTGTTTAAGGATGAATATCGACGCCAATGCTACCTTGCGCGTGCATGAGTCTAGTGTAGATAGGGTCTGACTGCTTACCGACATTAGCTATCAGCGTGCGCTTTTAAGTGTCTACGAAAATACAACTGGAATCCCTGCCAAGGCCGCCGTTTTACACAAGTCCTCAAGCCTTGTTTTCCGTTTTTCAGTTTCATGGCTTTTCGTTTCTTAGGTTTCTGAGTAGTACCCTTTTGCCCTTTTCATTTTGGCGTCTCCTCATTAAGACCCAATAGTAGGCAACAAGTGCACCCTTATTATTAAGAGCCTACTCAGGAACCTAGTTGAGGGCAAAGACTAGCAGGGATCCTTTGGACGCAGGCTGCGAGGAACTGGCGAAACCCTACTTGGAGGGTCGGGGGACTTAGTAAGTAGGTAGTAAGTAGACTTATACGTGCCCTAAAAGGGACCCTAATTGGGGTTATGGTACTTATAAGTTCTTAAAATAACCAGTTACTAAGTCCCCCGACCCTCCAAGTAAGTCTAAGCTTCAGGCCCCTACCCGCAGTAGTAAAGCCTGCTTTTTTAGGGCTCCTCATACTGCTTTCGGGTCAGCCACCTGTCTGTCTATCTATCTATCGAACCACTAACTGTCTATGCATCGTCTATCTATCTGCCCACCCACTATCGATCTATCTATCCATCCATCTATCTATCTACCGGTCTATCGATGTATATGTGTATATACATATACAAATACAGATACACCTACACATACACAGATATATATATATATATATATATATACATATATACATATAGATATACACACCTACATATACATATACATATCCACATACATATACATGTACATACACATATGCATATACTTATACATATGCACATACATGCATGTCCTTGACAAGCTGTTTTTGTTGCTTGGTCCTTTCAGTTAGAGTCCAACCACCCAGTAAACCCCGAGTCCGCAGTCTCAAACACAGCTCGATTGACTATTAAGACTTCTCGAACCCAGTGATGACCCTTATAGGACCCGCTCTTGGAAGGCTTCTAGACTCCATTGATGACCCTTATAGAACCCGTTTCTCAGGCAGGAGCCTGATACCGGTGACAATGAAAAGGGCTTGCAACATCTGGTCAACCCTTCTCAGAAACCCCAACCCTAAACCCCAACCCCCAACCCTGAAACTGTAGTCCTTCCATCCGAAAGAAGCCCAAAAAAACCTTGAAGCCTTTGGCTGGATTCCAAGGAAACCTGATCTGCTGAACTACATCAACGAAAAGCTTGAGTACAGCTTTACGGACTGTTTGTGGGGGGTCCTTCGTGACAGTATTAATAGATGGCTATATCAAGTACAACAAGAATAGACTACACAGGACATTGCAGCTTTGAGGACTTGCTAAGGATTAGCCGTTTGGTTTTAACGCCAGCTCACGGCAGGCTGAATGTCAGAGATGGTCTACCCAGCGGGGTCCTTCGGAACAACAGGGCCGCCTCAAGAAAGTTGGATTGGCGGTGCCATAAACCCTCAACCCTAACAGTCGTACGCACATGGGCGGTAGCCCTGCAAGCGAATCTACTAGCATGGGATCTTGGGACGTGAAGACTAAACCCTAGCCTACACCATATATCCTAAAATCCTAGTTAAACCCCTAAACCACCCCAACAAAAATCAGAAAGCCCTAAAAGCCCCAATCCCTAAATCCTAGAGGGGCTGGGTCTCGGGCTTCCTATAGGGCCTTGGGACTTGACTACACTCTGAACTCTAAACCCCAAGCCCTATACTACTTGGAGGGTCGGGGGACTTAGTAACTGGTTATTTTAGGGACTTATAAGTACCATAACCCCAATTAGGGTCCCTTTTAGGGTACTTATAAGTCTACTTACTGCCTACTTACTAAGTCCCCCGACCCTCCAAGTAGGGTTTAGAGCTTCGGTGTCTATACCAAGATCCCTCAAACCGTCAACCCAAGCTCTATATTACATAAACCTCCATCATTTCGCCAGCTGCAGTAGGAAAACCCATCTCACCCGACCAGATACCTAGGTACTGAAATACTATTGGTACTTCTGGGCTTGGGCCGAATACACAACTCCGCCTGCTGCCGTAACACAGTAGCCCATCATGTGCTGTGCTGCGAGGGGTTTCTGTAATACTTAATCACGACCTTGAACCGGGAACCGATCTAGGTCATCGGGGTGCTTCTGCTTACGATTCGGAAGGCTTTTTGTGCATTTTTTGCGTGGGGTGGGGCAGCGCTGCATGTCAGCATGTTCGTGTTATGTAGGTGTTTTCAGCTGCTCTTTAAGATTTCGTCTCGGTGTGATGCCGAAGCTAAGAATCTACATTTCTCCTCGAAGCTCAAACCCCTTCAGCCTGAGCCCCAGCCTCAACTGAAGCGCCTGCAGTCCGGAGCGAAATCGTTGCAGTCGTCGTCATAGCGGTCGCAGAGTAATTCGCAGTCGTGTTTTGTCGTGGTCGTCATCACCATGATGACCGAATTACCAAAATCGTGGTCACTGCATACGAGCAAGAGACAAGACAGGTAAGGCAATCTTAGCGCATGAACAGAGGCACAAGTACTTGCACGAGTACTAGAGGACGGCACTAACAGGCAGCAGGATTTGCAGGAATAGCAGTAGCAGCACAGTAACTAGCAGTAGCAGCAGCAGTAGCAGTAGGAGGTGGAGGAGGAGAAGGAGGAGCAGCAGCACCAGCTGTAGCCAATATTAAATATTCTATATCGTAAACACTAGAGTCCCAAACTTTACACCCTCAATCATTAAATTTCCTCCAGGATGTCCGAAAGATGCTCCAGACCATGGATGCGTCCGTTGCCGCTTGGATTCAAGATATTCATCAGGGTCTGGTGTTCTGGGTTTGAGTACGGGCCTCCAAACCCTAAACCCTAAATCCTAGAGCCCTAAAACCCTAAATCCTAAGGCCCTACACCTTACACCGCAAACCTTAAACCCTAAATCCTAAGGCCGTAATCCCCAAACCTTAAACCCTGAACCCTAAAGCCTAATGATAAACATAGTAGCTGAGTGGATACAATTTACACATTTGGGGATAATATTACCCACTATAAAACTGAAGGTGTAAACTTTTTGGGGCTCAGGAACTCAACAACTACTACGTCTAAACGTGTTGCCGGTTTGGGGTTTCGGGCATTGGATGTTGGGCTCAGGGCTTCAGGGTTTCGGGTTCAACCCTAAACCGCTCAGGTACTGCCCCCATACAGTAAGAGTCCATATAAGAGCTACTATTAAGCTCCTAGTATATCTATACTATTCAACTATTACTGAGTGGGGGCCGTACCACCCTCCCTAGACCCCCCAACTACCCTTTATTGCAGTCCCTAATTACTTCTTAATGAGAAATATTAGAGCCTTTTAAAGGATAATTACTTGGCGGGTGCTGGTAAACCCTAAGCCCTACCTGGAGGCTCATACCCTACCCCTTTTTTAGGATGACAAGTTTTATGGTTAGGACCTGCTATCTTAAGAAGTAGGCGCCGTAAAGAAGGGGCAGGGTATGAGCCTCTAGGTAGACCTTACGGTTTTTAGAGTCGGGGATGGTCTATCCAAGGGTAAAAGGAGGGACCCTTAATAAGGACCCCTGGGTATGTACCCTTAATTTAGCCATTATATACCCATTGTATAGCCCATCATAGGGTAGGGGTCCCCATTACGGGTCCCTCCTTTTCCCCTTTGAGTCTAGGCTGTAGGGCTTACCTTCAGGATACCGAGACCCCGAATCAGACGAGTTTGCACAAGACCCGAGTCTAGACAATCAAATGGGTGGTTGTCCAAATTAGGGTCCCTTTTTGGGTCCCTAGTACAATACGGCACCCAATATTTAGGGTTCCCAAAAAGGGGGCCATAATTTTGAAAACCACCCAAATGACTGTACCTCAGTATAGTGGTAAAGTAGGTAACCTTTAACCTTTTTTGGGTAGTATTAGTATAGTCCCTATATAGTACCTATATATCCAAAAAAGGTTAACCTGTTAGTTCTCCATGATACACCACAATTACCTCAGTATATTCCAAAAACCTGTAGGGCTCCATGTTATATGTTGCAGGGTCCAGTGGCGTGGTTGAGATCTGGGTCTTGTCGCAAAACTTGTAAGGTTGTGGGGTCTGAATACCTAGCAATGTTAGATTCCCGGTCTATAGTTACAATACACAACCAGGAAGCCTGAGTTTACTTTTTCAAGGCCTCCATATTATGTTGGTTCACGCATCAGGTCTCTGAGAGCGTGAACTGGCGCAAAAACGTGAAGTCATGGGAGCACGCGTATGTATCCGAGTGCATGCAACATGCTTGCGCTCATACGTGTTTACCCCCAACCTTAAACACCTAAACCCAAAATCCCTAAACCCTAAACCCTATGGGACGTGCGGCAATGTTTAGGGTTTTGGAGGTCGAAGTCTAGAGTGCCCTCAGGCAAACCAGAGAAGTCGTACAATTTACAGCAGGATGAGCTCGATCTTGGCTAATTGTTCGCCGTCTACGAACATGGGGGCCTCTTGATACATATCTGTACTTTTTGGGGGGCTCCTTATTATAGGCATAGTATAATATACCCCAAATCCCTATTCTAACTATTAAGGTCTATATCATAGAACCCTACTATAGATCCCTATTCTAACTATTAAGGCCTCTCTATTACGTGGTTTCCAGGGTTGAGGGGCGCAAAAGGAGTCTCTGAAAGTCAGTCATCTTCAGTTCTTCGGTTGCTCAAAGCTGTTTGCTTGCAACCTGTGTCCCGAAGCTAGGTTCTTGCTGAGGAATTTAGTTTAAGTTGCCATCATAGGATCTATAGTAATAGTATGGTTTCCTTATTATGGTAATAACTTCAATTAAGCCCCTTCCCTAATTGTCCATTTACCCATATAGTATATACTTTGGCCTTAAAGTAGTCGATATATAAATACTTTGGGGCCACAGTGTATACTATTTAGGTGCATGGACCCTTAGGGCTTACTTGGAGGGTCGGGGGACTTAGTAACTGGTTATTCTAGGGACTTATAAGTACCATATGCCCAATTACGGCCCCTTTTAGGGTCCTTATAAGTCTACTTACTAACTACTTACTAAGTCCCCCGACCCTCCAAGTAACAAACCCAGACATGAGGAAGGCGCCACCCCTTCAAGTAACCTTCGCCTCTTAGGCCCCATGTTCAAAGCCTAAAACCCTAAACTCCAAACCCTACCTTAACCCTGAATAACCAACTTCTTAGTACTCCTTATTAAGATTTCCTTACACAAGGACCCTTAAAGAGCTAATTAGGCTATTCCAGGTTAAGGTAAAACACCAAAATCCCAAACCCCAAATCCCAGAATCCTAAACCTTAAACCCTAGAACCCCAAAGCCCTAAAAAACCGGGGCTTCTCAGGAGCAAGCGAAATCTATGGCGAACTTCTTCGCCACGACCACGAGGACGGCCCTGAAGACTTAGTAACCCAGCCCTCCTCTTGGAGGCCCTTTTGACTTAGTAAGTCTACTTAGTATCCCCTAGAAACCCTATTATAATCCCCATAACTTACCTTACTAACCCTACTTACTAAGTCAAAAGGGCCTCCAAGCTCTTGCATTTACCTATAGCCATAAACTAGGCGTCCTAAAAAAGGGGTAGGGTATGAGCCTCCAGGTAGGGCATTTAGTCAAAGGGGAAAAGGAGGGACCCTTAACGGGGACCCCTACCCTATCATGGGCTATATACTGGTATATACTAGCTGTATTAAGGGTATATACCTAGGGGTCCTTATGAAGGGTCCCTCCTTTTACCCTTGGATTTAGGGTTTGGGGTTTAGATTTTAGAAGGTTTGGGGATTTTGGTTTTGGGATGTAGTAGGCTTTATAGTTTAGGGTCTCGGGATTTAGAAAATGAACGTGCGGTTTAGGGTTTAAGGTTAACCCACCTCAGGCTTCAGGGAGCAGGTATCCTAGCAGCATAGAGGTTTGCATTACAAGCGGCTCATCACTGCAGTGGGTATTAACCCACTTAAATGCCAGAATCCATATCCATACACCCTGAACCCTAAACCGAACTCTAAGCCCTAAACCCTAAACCAGCAACAAACATCAAGTCCAAAAGTTGGCTGTGGCATGCATCTCTCAGGGGAACAGCTGCGTGCGTGCACACCCCCAAATCTCCTAGTCGAATCTACTTGGAGGTTCATGGGTAGTTATAAGGGTTTCTGTAAAGGTCCCGTTTAAAGGGCTCTATAGGGATTTAGGGTTTAGGGATTAGGGTTTAGGGTAGTTATAAGTGGGGTTACACAAGTCCCCTAACATGGGTCATAAGTAAAGTCACCCGACGTATAAGTACCCATGATCCTCTAAGTAGGGGCCTTATTACGTAGAGTAGGGTTATGGGGTATAGTATCTTAGGATGATAACAAGGAAGCCCTTGAAATACTTGGAGGTTCATGGGTAGTTATAAGTGGGGTTGAAAGTAGGGCGACTATACTTATATCCCATATCAGGGGACTCATAAGCCCATTCATAACTACCCATGAACCTCCAAGTCGGGTCCTTATTAAGTAGAATAGGGTTATGGGGTATAGTATCCTAGCATGATAGCAAGGAGCCCCTGCAATAGTATTGGTATTTATGTAGTCCCCTGCAGCATTAGACCCATGCACCCTCGCCCCTAACTCTAAATCGGCACACTTATCACTGACCCAAACCCGAAACCATAAACCACTCATGGGTAATAAGGGTGCCTTTTGAGGGGTTCCTTTAAGGGATCTAATAGGGTTTTAGGGTCTAGGGTTTAGCGTTACCCACCCTAGTAGTAGAGTAGGTCTCCTTGAACCTTAACCTTTCTGAGATAGTATAGTCCCTATATAATCCCAATATATCCAAAAAGGTTAACCTTTAGTTGCCCATCATACCTTGTCGAGGCCACTTATCTTGTACTAGGACCCAGAGTAGGCCCTTATTCCCTTTTTTAGGGTTCAGGTTCCCTTATAAGCCCCTTTAAACCAAAAAGGGCATCCTTTTTGTTCCTAGGTTACTCTTGGGTCTAGACTTAAAAACCCTAAACCCTAAACCCCTAAACCCTAAACCCTAAACCCTAAACCCTAAACCCTAAACCCCAATCCTAAGTCTACAAGACAGTGGTGGGCCCTTCAGGGCCCCTTTGCCCAGGTTTGAGGTAGCGTAAGACAGTGAAAGAATGGTGTTTTCCACCTGCATACGTAAGGTTTGCGTATGGTAGGTCGAGGTAGAGCCTTAATAACTCGAAAGCCCTAAACCCTAAACCTGAATCCTAAGCCTTCAGTATGTCTGCGTGCACTGTGTACGAGTTCTCTGAGCCTCGCCGCTGACCGCCTCCTGATTTCTGAGTATAGAACCTTCAACCCAAGATCCTCATAGAACCCTTGTGCAAGCTCTTGCAGAACTTTTCTTACGAAGGCATTACCTGGACCCTCAAAGTAAAGGTTTTTGGCCATTATTTTACCTACTTTGGGGGGTCTAGGTAAGAACAGGACAACCACCATGCTGACCCTGGAGATCTTAGCGCCAGTGCACCTCGGTGTTTAGGGTTTAGGGACTTCAGGGAGATTTTAGGCAGGATTGCTATGGGTCTCGCAACTTTTTCTTTAGACGGTTGGTTCTAGGTTTTCAGAGGGTCCTGTAGTAGAGTTTACAAGTCGGAGCTCTGCAGTTGCATTGCACTCCTTGTTGCCCTTTTGCTTTTCGCTTTACTGCAAGCTCCAGAAGATTTGGATGGGAAGATCACTGCCCTCACACCCCTCAAACAAATCCCATCACGAACCAACCCTTTTAGCCTTCAAGTTCAATCTTACATCAGCATCTTCATTTGCTGCCTCAAGACTTTAAGCTTTACATGAGAGCCTGCCTAAGCCCCAGACCTTGAACCCCTTAAAACACACAAAGTAAATTGTATGAAACTTTTGTAAACCGTTGGTACCTAAGGCCTCTTACTGGGAGCTGGATCGGGGGACAGACCTTCCGCCTCGTCGCACGCCTGGCAGAAGACATCATCAACCAGGACCCTAAAACCAAAACCCTAAACCCAAAACCCTAAACCCTAAACCCTAAACCCTAAACCCAAAACCCTAAACCCTAAACCCTAAACCATTAGAGGTATTTAGGATTGGGGATAAGAGTTTAGGGGTTTTGGGGTTTAGGGTTTAAGGAACGTACAGTCTGGACCCACGAGTCCCCGACAACTGGCGCAGGGTTCAGATGTAATTAAGACCTAGGCCCTATTTCAACCACAAGAAGTACATGGACCATAAGGAACCTGCCTGTTTTAGGGATCCCGAATATGGTTTCTTTGTATAAGTCCTACAAAAAAGTAGGTTACTTGTGGTTAAGGTATACATGCATTGGCTCAACACCTACAACAGGCTGCTATTCTACGTACCGAGGGTCCAGGTAGACCCTATTCCCCCAAGTTCGATTCATTATTCCTTTGTTGGTCCCGGGAAAGTTAGATGAGAATCCACCCCAAGACTCTACCTGCTTTTATTGTAACCCCCAAAACCTGAACCGCTTGCCGACATGAGCTGTAGATCCCTGATTGAGTCCTGCGCACAGCGAGCGTTAGAGTAATTTGGGGCTTAAAAGGGTTCTATCGGGCTGCGCTAGGGTTCCTATGCGTGTTACAAGGGTTTTTGGCAGCTGTTGTGGATCCTACTCATATCACAGGTCAACCCTGAAGCAACAGCCTAAAGCCCTGCCCAAACGGCTACCAAGACACCCTAATTGAACCCCGAAGCCATTTAATCGTTAGACCTTGAAGGACCAGCTGATCCTGCCTGGCTATCAGATAAAGCACCATTTCATCGATGACCACTGTGATCCGGGCACTGCGCACCTTCCATGGTTGTACGTAGGTTGCGGGCTATGGGTTTAGAGTTGAGGTTCAGGGCTTTTGTTTAGGGGTTCAGAGTTTAGGGCCTTGGGCTCCGGTTGCAAAGGGGTGTAGGGTACAAGGCTCATAAGTTTCATAGTTCATGGTCTTGGACTTGGGGTGTCGACGCTTACGCTTCAGACTACTAAGAGCTTGGGCCCTGTGGCGGTAACAGCAGCGGCGCTGAGAGTCACTGTTGTCGGAACGAATGAACAGAGTACCAACACAATCTAGGAAAACGGAGATTCAGGATGAGTTTCACTGTAGGGTTCAATAGCCATAATACCTCCTGTAGAATGTAAATATTGGGTTGTGCTTTGGGATGATTTGTAATTTCCCTTATTTCCTTTTAAAGCCCACCTACTCATCAATAATTTTCAATGGGTTTCCAGCACAACCCAGTTAAGGGATATTGGTGTCTCTGGGTGTTTGGGTCGGACTTGCGTTGCCCAAAATGCTCGGAGCTCTTGAACTTCCCCGCCTCAGTCCCAAAGCCGTAAATCTCAAAACGCCTGAACGCGAATCCTTAGGTTTTAGGGGTGTAGGAGTTCAGGGGTTTAGGGTTTATTTAGGGTTTAGTGCAACTTTCCGCCCATCAAAATCAAAGCATATACCAGGCCTCTGATGTTATCGTCTCGGCTATGGCAGCAACCTGCCAGCAAGAATCCATCAACCGCTAAACCTGGAAGGCCTACGATTCTTCTACATAGGAGGTCATACCCTACCCCTTGTTGAGGGCATCTAGTTTTATGGCTCGGGCCGGAGTCTGCTAAATACACAGTAGGTCGAGTTCAAGGCATTTAACTGCGTGCCTAGGCCTTTTCTTTGAGTTTCAAGCTGAACGGCAGGATCAGACTGCTCGGGGGGGGGCACCGTGAGAACTACGGCCTCTAAACCCTAGCCCCTAAACTTTAAACCCTAAACCCATATCTACGGCAAACCGAGCAGGAAGAAAGTTCGCACTAACGACTTCTTGCCCTAAAGTAAAGGCCAGAAAGTTGGAATATGATTATCCTAAACCCTTCGATGGTACATTATAGGGCATCCTACCATGAAACCATATTCCAACTTTCTGGAGTTTCCTATAAACCCTCTTTGGGTCCTTAGTATACTAGGGCACCTACTGTAATACCCTAAACCCTAAACCCTTAACGACTTCTTGCCCTAAAGCCTCTAAGTTCGAGCTGGGACTGGGACTCGGGGCGTAGGCTGCAGCAACCCCCCCCCCCGAACAGCTACTTGGAGGGTCGGGGGACTTAGTAAGCAGGTATTAAGTAGACTTATAAGGACCCTAAAAGGGACCCTAATTGGGGTTATGGTACTTATAAGTCCCTAAAATAACCAGTTACTAAGTCCCCCGACCCTCCAAGTACGGCTTCAACCCCAGACCTTCAATCCTTGGCGTTCTTCTGGTTGGCTCTTAGGACTTTAACTTTTTGGGTTTCTATATAAACTATAATAAGGAGGCTAAAAGTTTTACTTTTGAGAGGGGTTCAGAAGTCAGCCGAGAATCCCTACGGTTGATGATATAAATCCTGCATTACCCATACTAAGGAATAGACCATAATTCCCACAGTTTAGGGTCCTTAAGGTCATGCAGGATGTATATCATCAACCGTACTTGCTCGACCTGTTAGCCCTAAGCCCAAAAAACCCTAGATACCAAACCCCGCCGTTTTAAGCTCCCTAGCCCTAGAACCCTAAACCCTACACCCCTAAAGCCTAAACCCCAAACCCCTGCACCACTTTGCAATCATCTCAGCAGCCCGGATTCGAGTTAAGAAGCGCGAGATCCGGAGACGGCTTAAAGGCATTAGGGTTGTAATATGGGGGCCTTAATGATTACCTATACTATTTGGGGGGGGGGGGGGGGTCCTTATAATGAGCCCCAAAACCCTATTCTAATTATTAAGGCCCCTACAGTAGGTTTGCAGGGTGTGCACAGGGTTTCAATGGTCGACTTTCTTTCCACAGGCGTATTGAGCAATACAGCGAGAAAGAGCCAGCCAGAGAGAGCGAGCGAGCGATCTCAACTATGAGATATGAGTGTTTTTCCCCCATACAGTCCTATAGCACGAAACCCAAACAAAGCTTTAAAGACACCCCAACGCCTAAGCCCCTAAGCCCTCAACCCCTGAGCCCTTAAACCCTGGCCCCAAGGGTCCAAACGACCCAATAATTGGGTACTCGGTTTTCGGATAGTAGTTATGTAACAATGTAGGTTAAGATTTTGGAGAGTATATGAAGGTTGATCTAAACCCCCTTCTCTTGAGTTTGCTCTACGGAGGCGATTTATTCATATTGTCACTCTGGACATTGCCTTCAAAACATGGTATGTGCGCAAGAGCGCGCAAGGGCAGTAATATGGCGATATATGCTTTATGCGACATGACATATACTGCACCAGCACGGCAAATCCCAATATGATTATTAGGTGCTGGGACCCCTATGTACATCGTGGATCCCTAGCCCTACCCAGGAGAAAGGGAACTCCTACGTAGCAGTGGCCGGCTTGGGTTGCGACGAGGCGGTTCGGAAATGTCGAGTTTAGGCTTTGGGTTTAGGTAAGTCTTGGGTTTGGCGTTTTGGTTTGGGATCAGGGTTTAGATTTCGATTTTAGGGTTACTATAGTCTCTTTAGAAATTAGTATTTCACTCTTGTTCATACAAAGCCCAGGGGAATATCAAACATGCTATTTTTGTTATGGCTCTAAGGGGGGTTTAGGGCTTAGGGTTCAGGGGTTCAGGGTTTTTTTTTGCCATTCCGTTTTACAGGGCCTCGGCTTGGGCATTCAGCAGTCCATGTCTGAAATCTTCAGACCCAACTGTGTGGTTGTCAAAACTAGGGTGCCTGTTTGGGTACCCTAAATATTAGGTGCCGTATTATACTAAGTTCCTGTTTTGGGTACCCTAACTATTACAGTAGGTGCCGTAGTATACTAAGGACCCAAAACGGGACTATAGTCTTGACAACCACCCAAACGGTAGACTCTTGACGAAGACAGCCCGGGTTCCCAAGAAGGTCCGCCAAAAGTGTAGGAATTAAGTGCAGATGTGCGCAACCCCCTCTTTCGGGTTAACTTAGATCCCCAATACCTAACCTTTAAGCTTTTTTGGCTTCTTATAGTTATAGTGTAGTAGGAATCGGAAGGTTTAATTTGAAACGCTGCACGTCGTCCGCCTCGGCCCGGCTGTACGCGCATGCGGCGAGTGGCTACTATCTGCCGTAAGTTCTTGTAGGAAAAAAGTAAACCCCAGAAAGCCCGCGCCCGCCAGCGAGCGGCGGGAGGGAAGGGGGGAGGGGGGGGGGGGGGGGGGGGGGGGGCGGGGGGAGGTGGGGGTGGGGGGGGGAGGGGGGGGGGGAAGCGGAGAAAATGGGTGGGACTGCCTACGCTGCCAAAAATCCAACCTTTGGTAGGGTCCATTGGAGAAGGCGAGAATTCACCGCCGGACCTTGAGGCTCATCGACACGTTTCCATTTTTTCGGGGGGGGGGGGGGGGGGGGAGTGGGCCCATTTTAGCACTGGGGAGGGGATTAAGAGGTGGGGAATAGAGGGAATCCGAATAGGAACCTCTGACCGCTTCGGCCGGGGCCGAGGCGAATTAACCTTTTCTTTCTGTTGTTTATTGGGGTATATAGTAAGTTTCGGGCTAATGTGCGCAAGCGTTGGGATTGAGTTTTCATTGGAGGCGCAAGAGCTCCCCTCGCCTCGGGGTCTTCGGGTTTTCAGTTTCGAGTTAAAGGTGCTGAGATGATGGCACAGTTGGGCAGGGGTTTAGGGCTTAGGGTTCAGAGTTCCAGGGTCTAGGGTTTTGAGGTCGAGGAATAGTTGCACCGCGGTATCTATGTAGAAGCAGTGGGCGGTGGTGGTGGTGGTGGTGGTGGTGATGCTGGTGCTGGTGCTGGTGCTGGTGCGAATGCTGGTGCTGGTGCTGGTGCTGGTGCTGGTGCTGCTGGCGGCGGCGGCGGTGGCCGTGGTGGTGATGGTGCAATTGGCGGTGGCGTTGGCGGTCTTGGTACGTACTGCTGGCGGTATTGTCAAGCTATAGTGGTTTTTGGCAGAAAACTTCAAAATACCTTAACTTAACCTCGAGCCCACAACACCAAAAGCTCGACCAGGTGTGCAGACAGGTGACGTCCCTGGCCGTGTCAATGCGGTCACCTCCCTGAAGTTTAGAGTTTGGGGTGCAGGAGGGCTGGAGGTTCGTAAGGGTTGATTTGAAGCTAGGATGCCCAGTAGTACCCTTATTCCCTTTTTGTAGTCCTAGGTTCCTTATGAAGTTACCCAATACCAAAAAGAGAGGCCTTGTTTTATTCTTAGGTTACTGGGTATCTTAGGAAGGCTTGTTTCTAATCTGTAATCATGGGGTTGGATAGTGGATGCTTTAATTTGGCACCAACTGCCCCTGCTACTACTATATGTTGTGCGCTGTGACATCAGTGGTTAGTCTTCTAGTGCTCGACTACTAGATGTTGTGTCCTCCTTACTTGTTCCAGCGTTGCTACTTGTCTGTGCTGCTGGTTGATGCTCAATTTTTAGCCGCCGCATATATACCGGTGTTGGCCATATCTGCGTTTTTTGTTGTTACGGCACCTTACCTCCTAAACCTTAGGCACGACCGAAACCCCCCAAAAAAATCTAATGATCATAATACGAAGTATGAATTCCTAAAAAATCGAATGATCATAATATGAATTCCTAGAGAAGGGGTCGCGAAAGCTCTACATCCTGCAGTTTCAGGGCTCCCTGGTCCTCTCCGTCAGGCCGGCACAAGCTCAGTCGATGCAAACCGCCCTATGGGCCTTTGGGTTTCTGCATGCTTACCTTAGCCTACCATAACCTACTTGTCTTTGTAGGTTCTTATTGCAAGCCCTACGATGGAATTCTTCGGGGGGCCTCCGGAAACATAGGTTTGGCAGATAAAGGTAGGTTTTGAGAGTTAGGCTTTAGCTGTAGGGCTTACCTGAGCGCTGAAGTCATTACGTCCAGGGTAATCAAAGACAAAGACGAGGTATTGGGTTGCCTCATGTAGAAGGTATTAAACTTGAACTCTACACCCGCCGTTGCAAGTGTGGTAAACAGCTATAGCCAGTTTTATTTCCGGTTGAGATACTTACCGAAAAACCCTAAACCCTAAATCATGTCCTTTCATTCTGCACTACCCATGTTTGTGCAGGCTCCGCGAGGTCGAAGCAAGAAATCATCACACCCCCTTGCATCCCCTAGACACATCGAGCAAATATACCTGAAAACCCTTTCCAAGTATTCAGATGCCTACATCAGACTCCTACAAAGGACCGCTTGCAAGAATTCGTTAATCGCCCTTACTATTGGATCCGACAAGCCCGACCAGGCTGCCTTTTCTGAGTTACGAGTGCGCCCACGCAGACTTCTCGGACACATCGCTGTACCCGGCATTGACGCGGATGGGAACTCCGACCAACCGCATGGTCGACGTAGTGCCTTGCCAGAGGTTGATGGGGGATTAAATGTTTGCCTGCCGTTTCTTAGGGTTCCTTAACATCAGCAGAGATGAGTAGCGTATAAAACACTCCAAAACCCTGTTCGAATTTATTGGCCCCTAATTTTCAGCAGGGTTGAGGGTTTCAGGGTTCGGGGAGGGAAGCGCGGGTTCGTGTGGAGCTCACTGGTGTCAGCCTCGCGTTAATGGAGTTCTTTGCCCAACTCTTGACCGAGACGCCGAAAACCCTTTAATTAAACTCTCTATATGCTTCCGCGCGAGGTTTGAAGGTTTGCGTCTTCGCCAGTACGCCGCTTTTGTGCGCATAGTCAGAATGGGCATGCGGAGGGGATGTTGGGCGCAGAAGTGTTTCGGAATTCTCGGAGGGTTTGAATAATGGGTTTCGTGTTGTGTTGCCAGAGAGGCCAATACACCTTCATGAAAGAAGTTCTCTTCAGACCAGACAGAATCAGAAGCTCCACCTACTTTAGGTAATAGAGGAAAAATAGAGTAAACCAGGGTACTTGTACCTTCAGAAAGGCTCATATCCGTTTTTGAAAGGTGCAGACCCCCAAACCCTTAGTTGCTCCGAATGTTGTGCCCGTGAATTCTCTTAATGGTTTACCGAAACTGTGAACCGGTGCACTTGTCCCGACAGGGGGGGACCCTTGGATGCAAGGAAAAAGACACTGCGCAAACACAAAAACCTTAAGGGTTTGTGTAGGGTTTAGCATTCAGGGTTTAGGGGCTTAGGGTTTACGGTTTAAGGGTTTAGGGGGTTTATGGGTTTACGGTTTAAGGGTTGAGGGGTTTAGGGGTTTAGGGGCTTAAGGTTTAGGGTTTAGGTTCTGGATATGGCTTTGGGGAGGCTCTCCGGGTTCTTGATCGAGATGGGTTTACGCTGCCCTAGCCTTGCACCGTGAGGTCACCGATCTTCGCGAGAATCACGGCTGGAGTAAAATCTATGTCGTCACCGGCGATTCAGCCGCTGCGGCATGCAGGATAGAATTTATAGCCTCCTGCGAACCTAAACGCTAAACCCTAAACCCTAACCCTAAACCTGCACGGAGAGCATAGTTGGGGTGGCCTTTGGGGATCGGTTCACCAAGTTTTAGGCTTCGTTCGGCCCGTCTCCACGGCTGATGTCTTGGTTCATCTTGTGCAGGGCTCGTGTGAAGGACCTTAGGGACTCAGATCCCCAGTGGGGGACTTTAGGAGTTTAGGGTTTAGGGATAAGGGGTATCTGGAGATGAGGATTAGATCCCCAATACCTATAACCTTTATATAAAGGGTTCCTTTAAGAGGTACTATAAGGGCTCCTTTAAGGGATCTATAAGGGATCTATAGGGCTTTTCCTAGATCCCCAATACCTAACCTTTAAACTTTTTGGGTTCTTATAGTTTAGTGGGAATCGGAAATGGTTGACCTTGTATTTCTGTGGCCTATTGGGGGTTGGTAAGAGTTTGTCGGGTCCCTATAAATACCGTTTTAGGGTTTATAACTAGAACCTACAAAAAAGGAGGGTATGGTAGGTTAAGGTAGCTTAAGGCTTAACTAGGATGCCCAGTAGTACCCTTATTCCCTTTTTGTAGTCCTAGGTTCCTTATAAAGCTACCCAATACCAAAAAGAGAGGCCTTGTTTTATTCTTAGGTTACTGGGTATCTTAGGAAGGCTTGTTTCTAATCTGTAATCATGGGGTTGGATAGTGGATGCTTTAATTTGGCATCAACTGCCCCTGCTACTACTATATGTTGTGCGCTGTGACATCAGTGGTTAGTCTTCTAGTGCTCGACTACTAGATGTTGTGTCCTCCTTACTTGTTCCAGCGTTGCTACTTGTCTAATGATCATAATATGAAGTATGAATTCCTAAAAAATCGAATGAGTTGTGTCCTCCTAGGTTACTGGGTATCCTAGTTAAAGTAGTACAGATAAGACTCTGACAGACGCAAACCTAACCAAAGCCTCGGTTCACCCTCCTGCAGCCCTCAATCCGAAACTCTAAATGGGTGGGGTTTAGGAGTTTAGGAGTTTAGGGTTTAGGGTTTAGGGTTTAGGGTTTAGGGTTTAGGGTTTAGGAGTTTAGGGGTTTAGGGTTTAGGAGTTTAGGGTTTAGGGTTTAGGGGTTTAGGGTTTAGGGTTTAGGGGTGTTTGCAGTAAACCCCATAAAGTTGGAAACAGGACTAAGGCCAATTAGTGCCGGGATTCCCTATACATGACTTAAGGATTGAGGCTAGTAGGTTTCCGACTTTGCGGCTTCTACTGTAATATGGGTGGTTGTCTAAATTATGGCCCATTTCTGGGTGCCCTAAATAGTAGGTGCCGTATTAAAAAAGGAGGACCCTAAAAAGAGACCATAATTTTGATAACCACCCACATTCTCAGGCGATGTACCAGACAGAGGCTGAAGCTTATGTTTCATCCTTCCAAGCTTCTGGTCTCCAGTCCGAGCCGCCAGCTCCGCATGCATCCGAAGACCCCCGGTTTGGGCTTTAGTGTTTGGGGTTTAGGTGGTGGCAGTTCGGGATTCTTCCAAAGACGTCGGGTTTAGGTTTCGGTGTTTTGGGTTTGGGTTGTGGCGTTTAGGGTTTATGCGGAGGCTTCAAGACTTGAAAATATCGGTTTTGCATTCAGGGCCCAAAAATAAGTTTTAGGGTTTTGTGCTCAGCATTTAGGGTTTATAGCTTTCGAGTTTAGGGCGTATAGGCTTTAGTGTTTAGGGTTTAATGGTTGTAGGGCACAATGCAGAAACCCAAATAATAAAAGCAGGGGGCTAGGTTTCAGGATGTATAGGGTTGTGATGTGAAAATGTCCCCGGCATTTTGGGTGTCTAAAGGGGCTGTGAGGCTTTTCTCGCAAGGGTTTGTTAGGAACGATCCCTAAGCCCTAAACTTCAACCCTAAACCCTACACCCTAATCCCTAAACTTAACCCTACACACTAAACCCTAAAGCGTGCACCCTCGACCCCCAAACCCCCGAAACTGTTCATGCCAGTCGAGGGCTCGATCAATTCCTTTTGGTGAGATCTGGGAGTTTCCGAAAATTAGGGGTACCTTATTTTGGGGCCCTTATAATGAAGGTCCTGCTATTTGGGGTACTATATTTGGGTCCCCTGTTATTCGGAAACGCCCATCTAGATTCAGCATGGGCGTTCCGAACCTTGATATTCCGACCTAACGTACTCTAGGGGCCTGAATAATTACCTTCGCTCTGTATTTATAGAATAACGGGCCCCAGAAACCTATTCTAATTATGAAGGCCCCTATGTTATAGAATCCTACTATAGATCCCCTATAGAACCCCTTTAAAGGACCCCTTAAAGGAAACCCTACCCTCTCGTTAAAGGCCCCTACATCGACCCTTGCTCCACACCCCAGTTCGCGCCTTCCTTTCGAACCTGCTGCAACGGTCCGCCTTGTTAAACCCTAAACCTTGGGTACTGCCCCCATACAGTAACAGTCTATAATAAGGCTACTATTCAGGGCCTAATAATACAGCAACAGTCTATAATAAGGCTATTATTAAGGGCCTAATATATCTAGATTGTAAAGATATTCCAACTGTTGCTGAGTGGGGGCAGTACCCTACCTAAACCCTAAACCCTTCTTCGAACGGGCCGAAAACTCGCCGTAAAGCGAAAGCACGTGGTTTTGGAGAATTCAATGTTTACAGTTCGGGGTGTGGAGGTGTTAGGCAGGTTTTACCCCAAACTCGAAATGCCTCATCAGCTGGACAGAATCTCAGGTGGCTCAACGCACGTGAGTTTAGATGGGACGAGATCACTGGGGCGTGGCCCCTCAGAGGGTCTTGCTTCGTCATGGACGCCAAATAACACGGTTCAAGTCGTGGCATCAGGCTACATTCGGCTTCCTAACCTTAGCGTTGTTTTGGAGCTGCTATGTTAGACACCAATCACTCATCCTCCAGCTGTTTAAGAGATCTTAAGTGCCTTAACGAAGGCCAACGCAGCAAAGCCCAAACTCTACTAGGACCCCTAAGTGCCTCTTAATAGAGCCCCGATGGTCTTCAAATGGAGGGTCGGGGGTCATAGAGGGCAGTTGGGGGGGGGGTGGGTCTCGGTGGACCCCCCACGCCCGCTTGAGCCCAAATCGACATCCCACTCCTCCACAGGACCGAAGCACCGAAACCGCAGATTCCAAATCTTGTAATCCCAAACGTCCAAGTATTGGTATAGTAATTCTACACTTTGCGGGCTCAAACTCTAATAAGAAGCTACTAGATTGGTACTTGGACCCTGTGGCTGCCCCTATCCTGAACCGGAAGCGCAGGTGTTCAGCTCCCAACTCGGCAGCACATCCCAGTGTACAGGATTCGGGGTTCGATCCTTAACACTACGGTTGATGATGTGTGTATATATATATATATATATCCTGTATTACCTCAAGGACCCTAATTTATGGGAATTATGTTATGCTTCTTCTTATGAGTAAGGCTTGACTTAGATCATCAGCCGTACCATACTGTGTGTACAATGTGGCCGTCACCGGTCACATGAAGGACCATCCTTGTGTTTTTCTGCAGCACCACAGCCGCAAAAGACCACGATCGATGTCGCGACTCCTCCTCCTCCTCCGCCTCCTATTACTACTACTTCGACGATGACTGCTGCTGCTACAACAACAACAACAACAATTACAGCAGCAACCGCAACTAGAACTACTACTACTACTACTACTACTACTACTACTACTACTACTACTACTACTACTACTACTACTACTACTACTACTACTACTACTACTACTAATACTACTACTAATACTACTACTACTACTACTACTACTACTACTACTACTACTACTACTACTACTACTACTACTACTACTACTACTACTACTACTACTACTACTACTACTACTACTACTACTGCAGCCCTGCATCCGTCTCAAGCGCGACAACCCTCGCAAGACCCCAAACCCTCAACCCTACAAGGCTAAGAACGAGACCCTGAGCCTCAAACCTCTAGGATGAACAATTCGCCACAGAAATAAAGGGAACTCCAGAAAGTTGGAATATGGTTTCAGGGTAGGATACCTTATAATTTGCCATAAAGGCTTTAGGATAATCATATTCCAACTTTCTGGCTTTTACTTTAAAGCCTTCCCGAGGTGATGAATACCATCAAGGGACAGAGTCCCGGTTTGGAGCGTGTAATATTCTTTATCGGCCGCTTGCCTCGGATTCGCATGTTTGGTTTTTACTCAAGGGACTTACGAAGAAGGCATACATTGAAATTTCAACTTCAAAAACTAAGACACAAGGTTCTCCGAGTTATGTAGCAGCACTCATGATCTACTTGCTAACTAAGTCTCCTGAGTCGTTAAGCAAGAACAGTCATGTTGCATTGCAGAAGTTGATGAGGGCTTTGAGTGTTGTCGGGCTTGGGGGGCATTTATGCAGGAGTGCCGGGGTTGCAGCAGGATTTGCGGGACAAGGTTTGGGGTTATGTTTGGGTGTTGGGTTCAGTGTCTGGGTTTAGAGTGGGGTTTGGGCGGGAGATGGTTACAGGCTACTCACAGGCTTCTTCAATGTATGTATAGAATAATAGAACCCAAAGCACCCTCTTTACATTTATGAGGATGATTTTCGGGGGCATTGATCTTTGCAAGCCCGGGGAAGCGAAGTTTCGAAGGTGCCCTGCGCACTAATTCGATTTACTTCGAGGAGATGTGAATGTAACCTTACGAAGCCCTGATGTTTATGAACATGATACCCTCAAAAGCCTATCGAAGGGTTACGGCCTGGAGCGGCGACCGCTCCTGTTTGGCATTGGTTGCCTAGTTGCCTACCCCAGGGCTTTAACACCCCGGAGGGTTTAGGGTTTAGGAGCGAGCTTTGGCGAATTCTGCCCTGTCCCCATCTTCATGTTGCGAAAAACCTCAGGATACTTCTAAAGAAAGGCTGCGCAACTCCCGGTAAAACATTTGGTCGAAGCTGACGCTTTAGAGTTTAAGGCCAAAGTTCTAAGGGTTTAGGGTCTGGAGGGGTAAGACAAAGTGACCCCTGAGAAGACATCAAATGCCCCCAAAGCCGGACTGCCGGATGCCCCCAAACCCTAAACCCTAAACCCTAGCACCCTTGACCCTAAACCTCCGGCCCCTACCTAGACCCCCCAAAGTTGGTAAAATAATGGCCCAAAACCTATAAAAGGCTATTATTCTACATACTTTGAGGGACCCTTAACCTGGGTTTGGAGTGCCATACTTGAATATTTTGGTTTGGTACCTCTTCCTTAAAGGAACCAATATAACATGAAAGTCTATACTTTTTTTCTCCCTTGTTGCTTCAAAGTCCAGTTAACCCTAAACCCCCAGCCCCTAGACCCTAAACCCTGAGGGGGCGAGATCGCAAAGTCCGACTACCGTAGATGAAAAGAAAGCGCGGTAACCCTAAACCCGCCAGCCCTAAGCCCTTAAACGCTTAAACCCTAAACCCTAAGCCCTAAACACTGGAGCCCGAATTCCTGGAACTGAACCTCGAACCTCTGAAGCCCTACATCCTGACCCCCTTGTGTATGACCCCATAAGTCAAGGGACCCAATGGAATTTGTTGAAAACGACGAAAACGACGGGTTTAGGAGTTCCAGCTTCGGATTTCGGACTGCGCATGAGGCTCGGAAACTCTTTAACCTCAAAACCCTAGCCTGAAGCCGCGCCTGAGGCTCGGAAACTCTTTACCGCAAGCTGATTTGCGCTTCGATAACGCAGGGACTGCAGAAAGGTGGAGCCTGAGTGTGGTAATCGGGGTTTAGGGTTCAGAACAGAGTGCCCCAAGGGGTCCCCAAACCATAACAGCTATTCCAACCATGGAAACCCTACTTTAAACCCTACTTTCCACTATGTTTGTAGTTAGGACCCTTTGGGTGCGGGTAAGGGATCTTAGCCCTGAAAGCCCTAACTTATCAGAGCCATAGTTCATGGTAAGCTAGCCGTCGACCCACACCTACCACAATCGTGACTCTGGTCTTCTCATTCCCACCCGACCTAACATTCCGAACGTGGTTTGTGAGGCAGGAGAGTTTGGAGATAAACAGCAAAGAAGAAGAAGAAGCTCGCTTTGGCCCATGACCGTGCACTCTGCGCCTTGCGGTGTCCGTCCAGCTCTTCGACGTCCCAGGGGCGAGGTTGGTTGGATGCTGGGGAAGAGTCGGAGACGGACGTCGAGTTCGTGAGTGCCCAGATCAGAAAGAAGAGCAAGAAACAGAACAGTGGCGTCGAGCGTGTCCTGTGGATCCACGACCAGATTCACAGGCTGCGAGACACCGGCCGATGGGTGGGCGATGCACCGAACCCTCTTGACAAGGAGATCCGGAAAGCTCAGAGTGCGGCAGCCACTGTCGAGGAGCAGAGTTTCAGCATCCTAATTGGAGATAACAGTTTCCTGACTTATCGCCCTACTTTAAATTGTCTAAATCCCAGCAACAAAAAACCCCTAACCCCAAAACCCTGTTTGAACAACTACGCTCTAAACCCTATGCAAAAACTACTTGGAGGTTCATGGGTAGTTATAAGCGGTGGGGTATAAGTAGGGTAACTGTACTTATAACCCATATTAGGGGACTTATAAGCCCATTTACAACTACCCATGAACCTCCAAGTACCCATGAACATGTGAGCTTAGCCTTCCTGCTGAAGCCCGCCTCCCAAACGCGAAGAACTCACAAGCGAGATTGAAGGTTTAGGGCGTACGAGGACCGCCCAAGGGCCCTTTAATAGAGTCCTTATGGCCTTCAATAGTGGGTACTCGGGGTATATGGGGGTCAGGTAGGGTTACGGTTCAGAGTTGGGGTTCGGGGTTGAGGGTTTTGGATTCAGGGTTTCCTGTTTTATGCAGGCTGTTGTTGAACTTCCAATACGATAAGCACTTAGAAAGGGAAGCCCTAGACCCAACTGTGGAACAACAGTCCCACCGGGGCCGATGGCAAACGATGCTCCCCGCCAGAGGTCATTGCACGCTATCCCCAACCCGGGGGTTGGGAAAACCAAAATTGAACCCTAAGCCCTATTTCCCTGAATTTTAAGCCCTAAACCCTAAACCCTGCAAGCGAAACAGTCTAAACCCTGAACCCTGAAAAGAGATCCTAAACTTCCTTAAAACTTTATAAGACTGCGCTATCTTAAACAAACTTCTTCGACCTTGGCATATCCTGAGTGTTTCTACCGTCATACGCTGCAGAAAGACCCTCATGGGGATTGCACTAGATCCTCGCAGTGAAGAAGGTGAGATCTTCTGAGGGGGCATCAAAAAATCCCTATAACTCCAATCTTAACCCTGCAAAACCTACCATTTTAAAGGGTTCCCCTTACTATAACTTCCTTGGAAACGTCCTTCAAAAAGGGTTGGTTTTTCCGGGTTAAACCTTCCACCGCGGCTCGCTTGGGATCCCCTGAACCCAAGACTAGGCCCCGTATGGCACCGGCCACCGTATACGGTTGATAAATCTTTTTACCCCTAGGGTTTAGGGATTAGGGCTTTAGGAGTTTGGGGTTTTAGGGTTTAGGGAGAAGGGGTATCTGGAGATGAATCTTAGATCCCCAACACCGAGCCTGTAAGTTTTTGGGTTCTTACAGTTTACTTGGAGGATCGGGGGACTTAGTAACTGGTGATTTTAGGGGCTTATAAGTACCATAACCCCAATTAGGGTCCCTTTTAGGGTACTTCTAAGTCTGCTTACTACCTAATTACGAAGTCCCCCGACCCTCTAAGTAGTAGGAATCGGAAAGTCTAACCTTGTATTTCTGTGCCGACTTGGGGTAGTAATCCAGCATTACCCATACCAAGGGTACCTTTAAGGGGTTCGTTTAAGGGATCTATATTGTGTAGGGTTTTAGGGTTTAGGGTTTAGGGATATAAATCCAGCATTGCCCATAATAAGGAATATATCACAATTCCCATAGTTTAGGGTCATTAAGGTTGTGCAGGATTTATATCATCAACCGTAGTAGACCACCCAAAAAGTTTCAAGCCTGAAGCTTCCTTAAAGGGCTCCTTAACGGGCTCCTTGAAGGGTTCCTTAAAGGCTTCTATAAGGGTTCTTTAAAGTGTTCCCTTGGTGTAAGGGTTCCTGAAAAGGTCCTATCAGCGTTCCTTAAAGGGTTCTGTAAGAGATCTATAGTAAACCCCCAGAAGTTGGAAGCCGGATTAAGGACAATTTGTGCTGGGATTCCCTATACATGACACTTGAGGATTGAGGCTATTGGGTTTCCAACTTTTGGGCTTCCACTGTACGTCCAAAGCCCAACACGCCCAAGTCGAGATCCCAAAGATTCCAAACTTCTCGGTGCACAAGCCCAAACACATGAGACGGTGCAGACGTAAGCTAGAGGCTCGAGAGAGACGGCATGCAAGTGGCTATCGCATGCAGTTAGCTTACAGTTTGCAGTAGAGCATGGTAGAGCATGTCTTCGAATTCTGTTCTAATCCATGACCTTTGTTCCAACTGCTGTGCAGGCATCGTATGGCTGTCACAGGGGACATGGCGTCGCAACTGGTGGAAGCGGTCGGACATCCTCACTTCCACGCATAGGCCAAGGGCCGATTCTGTGGAGCGTGGGGCCTAGGACCCTCTACTTGGGTCTTGTTAAGAACTAAGTGAAAGCCACCATGATACGGATAGTTTATAGCAAACAATATTACATGGTTGCCTTAAAACCCAAACTACTTCCCTTGACAAGAATGTGTTTAAACCTAAGCTGGAGCTCGCATTGAGCCATGTTTTCCTGTTCTATGTTTTTAGGTCCCTGCACAACTACCCCGTACGAAAAAGGGAGTCCTGATCATGCCCAGGCACATTGAAGGGTTATAGGGATTAGAGCCTGAGGTAGGTAGTTACTCGGGTTCAGGATTACTGGGTTCAGGGTATTGGGCATTCAATTTTCTGGTTCTGGGTGATTAGACGACCCAGGGTTTCAGACGGTGTTCCTTTGGAGAGATAGCCCTCTTTTCCTTGAGCTTTATTGCCGAATATAGCTATACCATATGATCGCGGCAAACCTATTCCTTTATTAATTCCGGCATTAAGCCGTAGATCACGTCGACGGTTCTTCAGGTTTTAGATGGCATCGTTTTGCTTCAGAATAGACGACAGGAGCAACTCCAATATACGCGACTGAAACCGCGAAGGCAGTGGTTGACCGAAGATGTCTACAGCCGAAACCTTCAACAAGCCCTTCCTGCCTTCAAGACAGCATGGGACACTGGATTTGCATCGTCAGGCTTTGCTTGGACCCTAAATAACCTACCCTTGTAGGGTTCCTTGCTACGGCTGCCTTACGTATGTCCTTCAAGGATACTGCTTGGGTGCAAGTCGGGGTTGCGTTGTGGCTTTGGGGTTTCGGCGTTTTGGCTGTTCGCCTTATGCCGGGTTGTAACTGTACACCCACGGGCTAAAGGCATACGTTATAAGGCCACATATTGGCATGTCCAGTGTGGATACGCTGCCCATAGGCCCCATGGTAGTTCCTTTTAGGGACTACCTTATAGGATTCTTCATGTGAGCCTGAAAAAGGAACTACTATGGGGCCGATGGGAAGTTTCTAGGTAAGGCATACTTTCACCGCTGTGGTAGCAACTTCCGAGCTGATCCGATGCCTACCTGGAGGTTCATGGGACTATTCAAGTAAGCTTATAAGTACCTTAACTGAGGTTATAATCAGTTTTAAGTACAGTCAACCTATTTTTTACCCTAGGCTTACGATCCTTCAAGTAAAGCGCTTCAAAGCTTTTCGTGAGCCCCAAACATAACCGGGAGTTTCCGAACATGGGGGTACCTCAATTTGGGGTCCTGAAAAAAAAGGGTCCGATTATATAGGGTACTACATTAGGGTCCCCTATTTTGGGAAACTCCCAACCCAGGATTCGCATGAGCTCGATTCGATGAGGGTAGAACTGGAGCCTGGGGTTCGTTTCAAAGCCATGAAGCACGCCTGTTTAGGGGTTTAGGGGTTTAGGGTTTAGGGGTTTAGGCTTCAGGGTTTAGGGTTTAGGGTTTAGGGGTTTAGGCTTCAGGGTTTAGGGTTTAGGGGTTTAGGGTTTAGGGGTTTAGGCTTCAGGGTTTAGGGTTTAGGGTTTAGGGGTTTAGGCTTCAGGGTTTAGGGTTTAGGGGTTTAGGGTTTAGGGGTTTAGGCTTCAGGGTTTAGGGTTTAGGGTTTAGGGGTTTAGGCTTCAGGGTTTAGGGTTTAGGGGTTTAGGGTTTAGGGGTTTAGGCTTCAGGGTTTAGGGTTTAGGGGTTAGGCTTCAGGGTTTAGGGTTTAGGGTTTAGGGGTTTAGGGTTTAGGGGTTTAGGGTTTAGGGTCCTAGGGTTCAAGGGATGCCAGGTTTTAAGATGCTTTGGGCTGTTACGGCTTGCAGTTGAGATGCGACCTCAGGACAGTTACTCTGCAGATGCCGAGACCACGCGGCAAAGTTTGATCAACCTCTATGTTACAGATGAGAAGGACGCCTGCGCAGTGCTAACGACGAGCTCTTGCCCCTGACCCCTAGACCCAAGTCTGCGGGCCTCAAACCTTAACCATACGCCCCACACCTTCCAACCCTAGACCCTGAACCCTTAAACCCTAAACCTAAACACCACAGAACGCTGAACCTGCACCCTGCAGCCTAAACTAATTCGCCAGCCCTGGAATGGCGTCCGTTTTGGGGGGTTCCTTATTGGGGGGGGTTCCTTATTATAGTCACAGTATAATATACACCCTAAACCTTAAATCCCTGACACCCACAACCTCAATTCCTAAAGCCCCAAACCTCGAAACCTGTGCCCGAAGACTCAAGTCTAAGACCCTCAACCCTGAGCCCTACTTGGAGGGTCGGGGGACTTAGTAAGTAGGTAGTAAGTAGAGTTATAAGTACCCTAAAAGTGACCCTAATTGGGGTTCTGGTCCTTACAAGTCCCGAAAATAACTAGCTACTAAGTCCCCCGACCCTCCACGTAAATCCTCATGTTGAAAGCATTTCCCGGAGAATAGACGGTTGCGCTACTAGGGTACTGGGCCCGAAGCGTCCTTCTGCCGAAAGCAGCTGCTAACATGAGGCCAGGTCCTGCTAGGGTTAAGGGTTTAAAGGGATCCTTAAAGGGAGCTATAGGGTTGAGGGTTTAGGGGATTCGAATATCCCTTAATTAAGGAATATACCTTAAATTATAATAGGATCCCTACTATGATTCAAGGTATATTCCTTAATTAAGGGCTTTCAGGGTTTTAGGGCTTGTAGGGTCTAGGTTGGGTACGGCCCCCACTCAGTAGTAGTTGAATAATATTCATAATGTAGATATATTAGGACCTTAATAGTAGCCCTATTATGGGCTCTTACTGCATGGGGGCAGCACCTACCTGTAGCCGGAAAGACCTACCTTTTTAAGGAACTATATATATAGAAACCATAATAAGGAACCCCAAAAAGGTAGGTCTTTTCGGCCGCAGGTAAGGTTTAGGGTAGAAGGTTAGGGGGCTCGAATCCTCAAGAATCCAGGCCGAAAAGGAGCGAAGCCTTGAACTCGGAATGCTACACCCAAAACCCCCTAAAGGAACCCTAAGCCCTTAAAGGAACCCTAAACCCTAAACCCTAAACCCTTAAAGGAACCCTAAACCCTAAACCCTAAACCCTTAAAGGAACCCTGAAAGCCTAAACCCTAAACCCCCCAAAACCAAATGCTCTACTAAGGCGCTACTGTTGATGAATCCTGCATAGCCTTAAGGACCCTAAACTATGAGAATTATGGTATATTCATTATTATGGGTAATGTAGGGTTCCGGGTTAGGGGTGCAGGGCTTAGTGAAGAGTTTGAGGGTTTAATGTAGGAACACGGTTAAGAAACCTTGGGCCTTGATTAGGGCTCTGTATTTAAATCCTACTATTTTGGGGTTGTAGTGATATAGGCCCAGGGTTTCTTGATCAGGATCTTCAAAGGGGAAAAGGAGGGACCCTTAATGGGGACCCCCGCCCTATAAGGGGCCATAAAATGGGTATACAATAGCTATATTAAGGGTATATACCCAGGGGTCCTTGCAAGGGTCCCTCCTTTTACTCTTGGAGATCTTACATTTGAAGTTTTAGTTTTGGGCATCTGACTTCCCCCGAAAGGATGCTCTGGAAGTGGCAGAAGGTCCTGAGCGATACCACGCCGTCCACCAAGAGTGGCACCCTATCTACCGTGCCTAGGTTCCTTAAAGGGCTCCTTAAAGGGTTCTGTAAGGGATCTAATGGGGGTTTAGGGTCTACTAGGTTCCTAAGTAGTACCCTTTTGCCCTTTCTATTTTGGGTGTCCCTGTTAAGATTAAAACAAGACGGTAGGAAAAAGGGCACGCTTACGATTAAGGACCTGCTCAGGAACCTAGCTGCTGTGACCGGCATGGTAGTTAGGGTATTAGGGGGTAGCTTTTGGGCTGTCGGGTTATAATAGGACATTGGGGGCCAGCTTCTGGTACTTCAAGTAAATCTGCGGAAGCTGGCTTCCACCTCACAAGAACTAGGATGCCCAGTAGTACCCGTATTCCCCTTTTGTAGTTCTAGATTCCTTAGACAGTCACCCAATACCAAAAATCCCTTTTTATTCCTAGGCTACTGGGCATCCTAGAGACTTACGTTTTCAATGATCCTAAACCAGAACTGCAGGCTTGACAGGAAGTTTAGGCAGGCTTCCATGCTCCCTAAACCAACTTTTGTCGAAGCCTTGACTAACTACCAAAAGGGCTCCTCAGCATAATTAGTCACGGTTCATGATCGAATACACGCCTCCAAGTCCTATTCTGATTATCAACGCTTTGATTATTGAACATGTCGACTAGGGCAGATCTTGCTTGACTTTAACCCTTAGCCCTAACCTCAAGCCCTAAACCCGAACCCCAGTCCAGTACCGAATCAGGCACCGAACGCTGACATCCCAACACCCGTCAGTTCAAGAATATCTTATTTACGGTTTCTGGGTTTGTTGTTGGCCTTGAGACATATTGCGCAGGGTTGCGGGTTTTGGGACGGGGTGAAAAGATGTTCCTCAAGTACCGGAATCCCAATAAGCACATAGGAACATGGGACGGCTGTTGAAGCATTGGCAACACTGGTTTAGGTTGGACAGGCCTGATGGTGATGATGATGGCTGTGATAACACTGAAGCAGAAGGCGTTTGGACATAATGGTGCTGCTGATGTTGTGACGATGACTATGACAAGGGCAGGTGCTGTTGAGTCTGTAGATCCAGCAACGGCAAGTAGGAGACGCAATTATTCAGTTGGCATGTAGAGCAAGCATGAGCAAGCATACTGGTACTGGTACTGTTGAGGACATCTGTACTACTTAGACCGCTGACCGCAGAAGTGCCCGTAGCTTGTGTTGTTTCCTGTAGTATGCCACGCCTTGAGGCGCGAAGCTCATTGAGCGCAACTACTATGACATCTTCATGTTCGACCTGGATGGCAATTTGATCTACTCCGTGTTCAAAGAAACCGACTATGGCACTAACTTCCGACACTCGGAGTCTTTTTGGGTTTCTGGGTGCTTTCTTGAATTTGTTATCGGGCTTTGGCAACTCGGGGTTTGCCTGATCACTCAAGATGTGGGACACAAAATGCTGCATGAGATGACAACCTGGCTTGATTTCGATTTCAATTAACCCACTTCTTGAACAGCCGCAGTGGATCCTTCTAATCCGGGAAGCTCATTCATTAGCAGTCTATGCATTGCTTCATAGCAGTGCCAGGCGTCGCCCTGAGCTCAAAGCCCTCAGACCCTGAACAAAAGACCTCGGTGCTGTTTTGGCTTTAAGGCTTGAATGAACTGCAGCTCGATGACTACGTAGCCTGTGCTGTGCTGTCGGGGGCACGACAGCAACCACAAAGCAGAAACCCACCATAAACAAAATCGCTCAACATCTTAAGTATTTGTTGAATTTGAGGAGCAAACGGCAATGGCACATGGAAGGACTCGGCGCTGGGCCAGGCGGGTGCTTCCCCAAGCCTAACCACGAACTGCATCTACGAAAGGGGCCTAATAATCACCAAGGCTATTGCGGGGGGTTCCTCATTATAATTTCATAATGGGCCCAATATCCGGAAGCTGGAAACAAGAGTCCCTCTCAAAATGTATACTTGCTGTGCGGCGGGATCACGATTTCGAGCGGCAGGAAGCGGAGTTACGCCTCAAAATACGCAACCCTGGGTTTGGAGTGCCATACTTGAATACTTTTGTTTGGTACCTGTTCCTTAAAGGAACCATTATAAAATAAAAACCTATACTTTTTTCTCCCTGGTTACTTCAAAGTCCAGCAAGAGATGTACAGTTCTGAACTTCGGCATCAACATTTACGTGATGATGCTGATGGTACTGGTCACTACGATGATTGGTGGTAAGAACAGGTACGTAGGGATCGTCGCAGTATTACGAGTAGCAGCAGCAGGAGTAGTAGTAGCAGCAGTCGTCGTCGTCGCGGTCGACGCAGTGCTAGTGCTGGTGCTAGTGCTGGTGCTAGTGCTAGTGCTAGTGCTGCTGCTAGTGCTAGTAGTAGTCGTCGTCTTCGTCGCAGTCGTCGTAGTCGTAGTCGTAGTCGTAGTAGTAGTAGTAGTAGTAGTAGTAGTAGTAGTAGTAGTAGCACCAGCAGCAGCAGCAGTAGCAGTAGCAGTATCAGTATCAGTAGTCGTCGTAGTAGTAGTCGTAGTAGTACCATTATTAGTAGTAGTAGTAGTAGTAGTAGTAGTAGTAGTAGCAGCAGTAGCAGTAGCAGTGGCAGTAGCAGTAGCAGTATGAGTAGTGGTAGCAGGAGTAGTAGTAGTCGTCGTCGTAGTAGTAGTACTAGCAGTAGTAGACATAGCTATTGTTTTTGGAGCTCTAGTATCCAGTATGTAGCAGGTATGCGGAGGCGGTAAGAAGGTTGTGGGTCGTAGGTGACGTTGTTGTTGGTTGTAGTCGCACCAGCAGCAGTACTAGCGCGAGCAGCAGCAGCAGCAGCAGCAGCAGCAGTCCCGTCGATGAAGGCGGTGATTAAACCCTAAACTCGAAACCCTAAACCCCTAAACCCCAAACCCCTAAACCCCAAACCCTAAACCCCTAAACTCGAAACCCTAAACCCCTAAACCCCAAACCCCTAAACCCCAAACCCTAAACCCCTTAACCCCAAACCCTAAACCCTCAGCGGGCTTGAGCCCTAAGCCCTAAAGACCAAGACCAAGTCTCTGGTCAAGGTGGTGCTGGTGATGTCACCAGAGACTCCAATATCCCTTAATTAAGGAATATAGCTTAAATCATATTCAAGGATCCTATTTTTTATTTAAGGTATATTCCTTAATACGGATATTGGAGTCTCTGCCTGGGTCTTATCTTGAGGATGCAGCGCTGCCGCTGCTGCCGTGATGAGGGTTGTGGCAATGCTTAGAAATGCGATCGCTTCGACGTGCTACGACGATTTCGGCCGATTTTGAACAAGTTGGTGCTACTGCTGCTGCTAAGGGGGAGTTGTCATGTCTAGATGCATGAACTCTTTACTGTAGCGGCTCTCTACATTGGACGTCCCCTTGCACAAGACCACGGCGCATTGAGTGGCAGGCTTATCAACAGGCGCGGGCAAATCCAGAAGCTTTGGCTTGCAGACCGAGCCCCCAAACCCTGCACTCCATTCGGGGAAGCTGGTTTGGGGTCGTGCATTTCGTGGATCGGGGTGGTGGCTGAGCACCGAATGTGCCACAAGACTTGAGAGGATCATTTGGGTAGCACACGATTTAGAGCTTTGGGGGTTTTGGTCCTAGATAGTTGTTCATCGGGAGGTTCGTGTTCAGGGGTGCTTAGAATCAAGAGCCTGTTCCGAAAGGTTGTAATTAGAAGGGTTCGCTATGTCCGGCATTAAGCCTTGAACCCCAAACCATAAAAAGGTCCGCTCAAACCTCGCAGAGAGAGAAGCACAGGCTTGATGAGTCCTGACGTGTTGCGCTGGTCAAGGTTTAGGTATCAGTGTTTGGACGAGCTGCATGAATGCAAGAAAGGTTTCGGGCAGTGCGTACACAACTATAATGACTATAAGAGGACAACCATTCACGATTCTAGGCTTTGGCATGATTTGGTGAGACTCCTGGAATCCTAACCACAGAGCATCACAAAGACCTTTGATAAGGAAACCAGGTTAAGTTAAGGTTAAGGTTTAGGATGTAGTATGTAGGGTTCACGGTTCACTTTTTAGCATGTGGTTTCTAGGGGTATTAGAGACCCGATGACCTGAACCAGAACTGTTCGGCCCGTCGCCAATGCCTTCCTAAACCCCTAGATCCCGTAGATCTGAAAACCCTAAACACTTCAGCCATGGAGCCACACCATACCCAGGCAGGCCTTTCGGATGTTGTGTGTTTTCCTTTGTTTGCCTTAAGAGGTTGTTGGTGTACAAAGGTTTTTCTGAGGCTCTAAAGGACCAACCAAGCTATAGTCCCTAGATGGCCATGCCATTCCCCACTACATTACCACCGTTTTATCCTGCTGATATCCATATATCGACTGTTCGGCCCACTTCAAACTCCTAAGTGCACAACGTTTTAGGGTTTAGGGTTTAGGCGATTGGCAATGACAGCAGAACCCGAAACTTAACCCCCCCCTCCCCCCGCCTCCGAAACCTAAAGACAGCGTCACCCGAAATCCTAAAGCCAAGGACCCCAAACCCTGAACCCTAAAGTTACGGTGTAGGGTTTAGCGTCTTGATTTTAAAGCCAAGGATAGCGTTTTGATTTTAAAGCCATGGATAGCGTTTTGATTGTAAAAGCCAAGGACAGCATCACCTACATCGACTTTACCCCTTATGGTCCAAGCAACGGAGCAGACGCCGCTTTCTTGGCCACCGGACTTCGCAACGAGGAGCCCCGTCGCCCCGGTAGGGCTTTGGGACATGTTATATCTTAGATCCCCAATACCTAACCTTTAAACTTTTTGGCTTCTTATAGTTTATTAGGAATCGGAAAGTTTAACCTTTCCTCACATTCAGAGTAGGGTTCCCTAAACCCTAAACCCCTAAACCCCTAAACCCTAAACCCCTAAACCCCTAAACCCTAAGCCCTAGACCCCTAAACCCTAAACCCCGAGAACCCTAAACCCTAAGCGCGGGCAGACAGACAAAGGAACGTCACCCCAACTTTAAAAAATAACCTAAACCCTAAACCCTTTCCTTATAAGGGTTTAGGACTTAGTTGGTTTAGGGCCTCGAAGGATCAGGGCTGTCAGGGCTTCGCACTTTGCAGAAGCGCCGATTAGTTCCCAGCAGGTGGAGGTTCCTTTGGCAAAAAGCCCACCTCGAAGTACCATGGCCTGCCATAAACCCTATCCCTAAGGCTCAAAATAGCCCCAAAGCCTTAAATAGTATGGTCTTTGGGCCCAAAAGCCTTGAAATCTGAGTCCTTAGAGACGAAGGATATAACGGAGTCTATCGAGATTGTGAGTTTAGGGTTTAGGGTTTAGGGGTGAGACAAAGTAGGTTACGGAAGCCTGCACCCTGAAATCTACACCTTAAAACTGAGCCCTACTGGCATTCATTGTAGTTTCTTTTTTATGGTTAAACAAAAACTATATTATAGGATCCTAACCGTAAAACTGGTTAACCGGAAAAAGGAACTACAATGGAGACTACAGGTACACCTTACGAGACCAGGTTTTTTTCTACATTTCAGTTGGAGGGGGTTTGTGCAAGTTGGGGATGCCTTTTTATGGTGGCTCCTGCTGATATTAGGGCTTCTGGGGTTTAGGGTTTTGCGCACATGCTAAATCTATACCCAGTTCCAAGCTTGCTGCATCTCCTGAAGCTCCCATGTAAGGTGGGTCGGTGTTCTCCTTCAGGTGTTCAGGTTTAGGGTTTGGGCTGCAGGCGGCTGGGCAGAAAGAATTAAAGCTCAGCGGGATATCGGGCTCAATCAAGAAGCCTAGATCAACACCACTGCTGTTGCTGATTACTGACAGCTCCTCAGTATAATCATACTGTAACATACCCCACCAGCTATTCCCAATTAGTTGTTAAGGCCAACTGAGGCACCTGAAAATTTGGCCTTCAAGCTTGCTGCAGGACACTGGTGAGTTGATCGGCATATACAGCATCCAGCTCCCGCCTGAATACGAAAAGCTTCCTGCCTTGATTCGTCTCCCAAAGGGGAAAAGGAGGGACCCTTGATAAGGACCCCTAGGTATATAATTACCCTTAATATAGCTGTTATATACCCATTATAAGGTCCATTATAGGGTAGGGTCCCCATTAAGGGTCCCTCCTTTTCCCTTGGAATCTCAGCTCTCATCCAGCGTCGTGTTCAGGGTTTAGGCTTGACGGCCCTGGTTCGTGCACCCAGAGACTCCAATATCCCTTCATTAAGGAACATTCCTTAAATCATACTCGGGATCCTGCTATAATTTACGGTATATTCCTGAATTAAGGGATGTTGGAGTCTCTGGGCAGATTACACAAAATGTAGGAAGTTGATGAAGGAACCCTGGGCCTGTAACCCCAAGACGGTAGGATTCATATAAAGAGCCTTAATACAGGCCCAAGGTTTCTTAATCAGGCTCCTACATTAGTATACCCTTATAGATCCCTTATATTAACCCTTATAGACCTATTTAAAGGAACCCCTAGGCCCAAGGTTTCTTAATCAGGTTCCTACAGCAGAGCGAACCTCAATCTTCTCAGCACAGCCATCGGCTTAAAGCCCTCAGCCGACATGACATAAAATCTAGGATGCCCAGTAGTACCCTTATTCCCTTTTTGTAGTCCTAGGTTCCTTATAAAGTTACCCAATACCAAAAAGAGAGGCCTTTTTTTCTTAGGTTACTGGGTATCCTAGAAATTTCAGCCCAAGGAGCGGCTTTAGGGCTTTAGGGTTAGGCGGTTTCCCAGAGACTCCAAAACCCCTTAATTAAGGAATATATCTTAAATCATATTAGGGATCCTATTATAATTTAAGGTATATTCCTTAATTAAGGGGTTTTGGAGGCTCTGGGTTAGTGTTTAGGATTTAGGGGTTAGGGGTTAAGGCACAATTGGGCAACCCTAAACACCCCAAGCTCGGAATGGACGAAGCGTCCTGTCCACCCGTCTCCAGCCATTGACGTGCAAAGGCCTCAAAAACCCTAAACCCTAAACCAACCCTAAACCCTAAACCCTAAACCCTCAAAAACCCTAAACCCCGAAAGGCCGTAAAGCCCCAAAGCCCTGAAGCTCTAAACCCTCAACCCCAAACCCTTGGCCCTCAAACTAGAAGCTAGGACCCAGAGTAAGCCCTTATTCCCTTTTTTTGGGGTTCAGGTTCCCTTATAACCCCGTTGACACCAAAAAGAGCATCCTTTTTATTCCTAGGTTTCTCTTAGGTCTATAGTTTAATACACCCAGAGCCTCCACTAGTTTGTACGTGAGGGCTTTAGGGTTATATGGTTCGGGCTTTCTGTGTTCGCGGTTTGTTGCAGTCGCATATCCTAAACTGTGAAGTCTATGCTTTCAAGCCAGAAGGCCTTATCCTAAAAAACTGAATCCTAAGCTCGCCGGTATTTCTGCAAATCCGCATCTTGCCTAAGCCACTGCACCGGCAAGCCGAAATCCGCAGCCTCCAAGCCGGATTTTGCCTCTTTCCATCCGGCCTAGGCCCCGAGCTCTCAGCCAAAAGCGTCCACAGAGCCCTAATTCGCATTTTCAATCCACCATAAACCCTAAGGCTATGTAAAGCCTATGCCCTAAACCCTAAACCCTAACCTATAGCCTCCTTAAGAATTTGTTTACTTTTGTTCATATATAAAACCCAAGAGAATATTAAAACTACGTATAGTACTATGGTTCTAAGGGGGGGGGAATAGTAACCCTCCTGAAAAAGGCCACGGGAGCTCCCTCCCGGGTTTCGTGTGGAGTCTCGGGTGCCCAAAACCCTGAACCTTGAACCCCCGACCGTTATGGCGGTGTAGAGTCTAGGGGTTTAGGGGCTCGGGGTTCCGGGGTTTAGGGCTTTAGGGGCTAAGGGTTTAGAGTTTAGGGTTGAGCCTGCAAACTCTGAACCTCAAACCCTATAAACCCCTGAGCAACATGAAGGAACACTGATCTTACCGTTGGTTAGTAGGGGATGGAAGAATGGTAGTAATAGTAGTTATAATTGTACCCCATTCCTCCATTCCCGACTCACCAAGGGTAAGTGATGAGAACCCTTTAACTCTAGCATGAAGCCTTGAAAAACCCTCGGGAGACTCGCGAAGGACTCGTTCTACAACCCTACACCCCTCTAAACCCCCCTCGTAGTAGAGGAGTAGGTAACTTGTAACCTCTTTGGGTAGTACAGCCTTTATATAATCACTATATTGCCAAAAAAGAGTTAACCTTTAGCTCCCCATGACACCCGACAAGTAGGCCCCTAAACTCCTTGCGACACCGAGACTAAGAAGCACGCCTCCTTAAATTAGACCCCTTCTACAACATTACGGACCACTAAAGCAAACGAAACCACCGAAAAGTCCTTGTCGGTTTAGGGTTTGGGGCTTGGGCCCACGAAACTGCACGCAAGGTCGATCGAGGCTGTGGAGCCGCAGTGCTCTTTCGAAGCCATCGAGAGCTCTTTCATGGGCTCCATGAACTTGAGAGGCCGGGAGTGAGGTTTAGGGTTTGGGGTTTGAGTCTGGGAACTTGAGAGTCAGGGGTTGGGCGTTTAGGGTTTGGGGGCTTGGAATTTAGGGTTTAGAGTTTAGGGTTTGGCCCCGTGATCTTGAGAAGTTCATGACCTTCTGATGAACTCTTTAGCGTACTATTACTTCCAGCAGCACTGAAGTCCGGACCCCGAATGCACATCATGGCTCAAACCATCGTGGCCATACAGCCGGCGCCAGCAGCTGCAGAGATTTTGTCCGTAGGCCCTGCAGAAAAGCATCTGCGTTTGAGGAATAATGGCACAGCGACGATGGCCGCGGTTGGCGACTGCGGTTGGCGATGATGCAGTCGATGTTGCCGATGAGGTCGATGCTGCCCAAGAGGCTGAGCATGTGCGTGTGGATGTTGCTGATCCTGCTGCTGGTTGTGATACGGACGATGCCGGTGACGGTGTCAATTGTGTCGACAATGAGGACGACGATGTGACAACGACAAAAGTGGTGATGATGATGATGATGAAGATGATGAAGATGATGATGATGATGATGGTCGCAAAGATGGTGGTGATTATGATGATGGTGATGGTGCTGCTGGTGAAGACGATGATGATGCTGGCAATACTGAGGGCGATGGTGATCTTGGCGGTGACGGTGATTTTCGGCGGTGGTGCTGGTAATACTGGTGATGCTGATGATGTTGCTCTCGGTATTGATGTCGACAGTGATGTTGCTGTTCATGTTGATGCTGTTGAAAATGAAGATGACGCTGGTCACAGCGACGAGAACCGCGACAATGACGACGACAGGGACGTGCGACCATGACCGCTATAGCCATTGCGGCGGTGGTGCGAGGGTAGTGTCTTTCCGGATGCATATTTAACAGAAGTGCGGGAGCACTTGCAGAAAGGAGCGATCCTCGAATGCGCAAGCCGTCTGAAGGAAAAAGGATGCAGCCTGAAGTATCTGAACAAATTGACGGCCATATTGAACTATACGACCCCTCAAGCAGTATCTTGCTCAGGACTCATGAAAATGCTTGATGCTCTAGGGTCGTGTTCGCAATGTTCAGGGTTGCTGGGCCAACCCTAAACGTACCCCCCAACAAGCCCCCACATAGCCCGATTCTGGCTCAAAGGTACTAGATAAGAAACCCCTTAAAGGGTACTTCTGGCTCTCGACAAAAAAGGGTCCCCCTAGTCCTAACTCGTACTGGCAGGAATGTGGCAAGCCCTAAACCCTCGTTCCTGATCCTAATTCCTACTGGCAGGAATGGGGCAAGCATCGCAAGAAAACATGGAGAAGCCGTTGGATTGTTTGAAAGGCCGATTAGGGTTTAGGGTTTACTGGGGGTTGCTGAAACGGGATACTAGAGGAAGGTTCTTCTTGTAGGTAGTTCTCTAAACTAGGGTGCCGTGTACTAGTTGGAGACCTAAACAGGGACCTAATTTAGGGAACTACCCTTGTGCCGGGGCATGAGAGAGTTTCTAGGATGCCCAGTACTACCCTTATTCCCTTTTTGTAGTCCTAGGTTCCTTATACAGTTACCCAATACCAAAAAAGGGAGTACGGGGCATCCTGGGTTTTTGTTATATACAAGTACGAGATTCAGCACACGTTGAGGGCTTGCGCTGCAAGGGTTTTGGTCGTGGTCTGGGTTTAGGGTTAAGGGGTTTAGCGGTTTAGGGTTTAGGGTTTAGGGGTTTAGGGTTTAGGGTTTGGATTGAAGGCTCCAAGCCTTAAACCATCCTAAACCATACATCCTGAGCGGCCCTTTCAATCGCTAAACCATAGGCTGCCGGAAACCCTAGACCTGCCAGCCAAAATGGGCGGAAACTGACATTGTGCATCAAGACTCTGTCTCCAAGAGTCCAGGGATTCCATATTATCCGGTTTAGAGTTTAGGGTATCGTTTAGGGCAGTACAATGGGAAGGCGTTCGCTTCACCAATGTGTTTTGGAGTGTTAGATATTCGAAGAGGGTTGTAATTAAAGAAGGACCATCATAGGGACCATGGCATGGAACAATCTGCGTCTGCGGAATTAAACGTGTGTTCTGCGTAGTTAAACAGACGCATGTGCAACGGAGGCAGTGGTGCTCGCAACTTGCTATGCTGTACTTGGAGGGTCGGGGGACTTAGTAAGTAGGTAGTAAGTAGATTTATAAGTACCCTAAAAGGGACACTACTTTGAGGTTATGGTACTGATAAGTCCCTAGAATAACCAGTTACTAAGTCCCCCTACCCTCCAAGTAGCCCCCCTCCCCTGCTCGCGCGAGCGACTGCCGCCCTAACCGCTTGCGAGCTCTACACTCAAGCCTTTTCGTTTCTTCAGCCCAAACCCTAACTAAGAAAAGCTTACATCGTAAATCCTAAACCTGTATGGAACCCTCACAGGAATCGTTATAGAATCCTTCATAAACATCCCATAGAGGAACACTTATGCTCCCTGAAGGATGGAATCCCCTATCGAACCCGCAGATAGGAACCTTTTTAAAACCCTGCATGCAGGATAGAACCCCCGGTCAAACCCCGTAAAGGAAGCCTGACAATCCTCAAGGTTTATACCCCTCGGGAAATTTCAATAAAGGAGCCCCAGAAATCCCGAAAGCCCTAAACTGCCCTAAGCCCTCTAAGCCCTAAACCGTAAATCCCTGAATCCATTCCTTTTTAGGGCTTGGAGCCCTAAACCCGAGATTCCTGAAGTGAACCCGAAAACCCTACGCCGTAAACCCTAAACCCTAAACCCCTAAAACTGAAAAGAGCCCATAAAAGAAAAATAACTAAAACTGAAAAGAGCCCATAAAAAGATACCAAAAAACACAAAAAACTAAAACTCTGAAGGCTACAGCCCTCAGAGTTTCCTCACCTTGTTGGATAAGCACCTGGATGCGGGCTATCCGGAAGGGGATCGTTCGCTCCTTGGCGGTATTTTTAGGGCTCTTACGGGGTTTAGGGCTTAAGGGGTTTAGGGCTTAGGGGGTTTAGGGCTTTAGGGCTTAAGGGTTTAAGGGTTTAGGGTTTAAGGGTTTAAGGGTTTTGGGTTTTGGGTTTTGGGTTTAGGGTTTAGGGGTTAAGGGGTAAGGGGTTTGGGGGTTCAGGGGTCTAGGGTGTAATGGTTTCGAGGTTGTAGTGTTTAGGGGTTTAGGATTTAGGAGTTTAGGGGTCGGTTTAGGACAAGGAACTCTAAACCCTATAACCCCAACTAAAGCCCCAAAGCTCTACATGGAGCTTAAACCAATTTTTGGTGGCATTCGATGGCAGTACATTCAGACTTAGTCATGTGACCTGCCAGCGGGCAAGCCACGCATGCGCCCCAAGCCCTAAACCCCTGAACCGTGAAACCTGAAAGCAGTGCGGGATTTGAGGTTTGAGGTGTTGGGGTTAAGGGTTTAGGAGCCTGAAACTTAGAGTTAACAACCCTTTTGGGTTTTCGGCTTAGGAGTTGAGGGTTAATTATCTAGGATGCCCAGTAGTACCCTTATTCCTTTTTTGTAATCCTAGGTTCCTTATACAGCTGCCCAATCCCAAAAAGGGAGACTTTGTATTCCCAGGCTACTGGGCATCCTAGTTACTTGGAGGGTCGGGGGACTTAGTAACTGGTTATTTTGGGGATTTATAAGTACCATAACCCCAACTAGGGACCTTTTTAGGGTACTTATAAGTCTACTTACTACCTACTTATTAAGTCCCCCGACCCTCCTATTTAAGGGGTCAAGGAGTCGAGTTTGTCGGACGGGAAAACCCACAGTTCAATCTTAGGTACGGCCCCTACAGTAAGAGTCTATAATAGGGCTACTACTAAGGTCCTACTATATCTGTATGATGAATATTATTCAACTATTACTGAGTGGGGGCCGTACCTAAGTTCAATCAGTCAACATTGCAGGTTCAGGGGTTTGGGTCTGATTTGGGTGGTTGTCAAAATTAGGATCCCTTCTTGGGTCCCTATTATAATACGGCACCGATTATTTAGGGTACCCGACAATGGACAGTAATTTTGACAACCACCCATTTGTGTCGCCTAGTGTAGGAACCTGATTAAGAAACCCTGGGCCTACAACCCCAAAGTAGTAGGATTCATTTATAAGGAACCCGAATAAAGGCCCAAGGTCTCTTAATCAGGTTCCTACATGATTATAGTACCATTATAGATCCCTTCTACTAACTCTTTAAGGAAGCCACATTAGCCTGCATCTAAACCCTAATACCCCAATATAAGACCCTAATACCCCAACACCCTAAACCCTAAACCCTAAATCCTAAACCCTAAACCCTAAATCCTAAACCCTAAACCCTAAACCCTAAACCCTAATACCCTAAACCCTAATACCCTAAACCCTAATACCCTAAACCCTAATACCCTAAACCCTAATACCCCAATACCTAAATTAGGAGAAAAGAGTTGGGTCAATGGCCCCCCCGGAGTCCCAAAGCTCTCTCAGGGGCCCATTAGGGTTTAGGGTTTACTTAGGGTTTAGCGTTTAGTTAGGGTTTAGGGTTTAGTTAGGGTTCAGGGTTTAGTTAGCGTTTAGAGTTTAGTTAGGGTTCAGGGTTTAGTTAGCTTTTAGAGTTTAGTTAGAGTTCAGGATTTAGTTTGGGTTTAGGGTGTAGGGTTTCTCATCAAGAGATTTCCACTGGCACTACGATTAGTTCGGCCTGTTTAGGGTTCCTTCGTTGTGGGAGTTGGACTTCCGTTTTGCATCAAGCTGGAGCTTATCGGGTTTAAGGTTTAGGGCCTAAGTTTCGTCCAAGGGTAAAAGGAGGGACGGACCCCTAGGTATATACCCTTAATATGGCTATTATATACGCATTATATAGCCCATTACAGGGCAGGGGTCCCCATTAAGGGTCCCTCCTTCGCAATTACATACCCATTATATGTTATAGCCCATTATGGGTAGGGGTCCCCATCAAGGGTCCCTCCTTTTCCCCTTTGAGTTTAGGTCCAGTCTATAGGGCTGATAGGGTTTTCAAGGTGAAGTTTTCCAGTCAACTGCGCCGTTTGCCTGAATTCTGGTGCTCCTCATGTATAAGCTGTTAAACAGGCAAGTAAACCTTACTTAGCCTATTGGAGAACTTTAAACTTTTTGGCTTCATATATTTGGTCTAGCTTAAAAAGTTTGAACTTTGTTTGGGCCTGGCTATTGGAGAAGAGAGAAACTGCAGTTCAGTAGAGGTACGCAGTTCGGTTCCATCCTGCAGCCCGAAACCCTAAACCTTAAAACATAAACCCTAAACCTGCAACCCTGAAGCCTTAAACCCTGAATCCTAAAGCCCTAGACTCTACTGCTTTGAACTGTCCCTCCGCCCTAAAACCGGAACCAGACTAAACCCTTAGTAGCTGAGTAGTTAGGTAACCTTAAACCTTTTTAGGGTTTCGGGCTTTTATAGAGTCCTACCATGGTTGACCAGGTTAACCCTTTTTTGGGCTAGGGTACTCAGTTGTCAGAGCCTCAAACCCCCTAAACGTATATACCTCTCTGCTCCCCCACGCCGTGTGGGGTGCGGAGCGGCAGAAGTTTTACAGGTCTAAAGGTTTAGGGTCGCAAAAACCCTGAACCGCACACTATAAATCCGAAAGGTGTAGGGTTTAGCACAAATCCTGAACCCCTGAACCCTCAAAACCCTAAACCCAAAACCCTCAACCAGGACAGTTGTGAACGATCCCTACGTTTCAATCAAAGCCCACGCCGTGGACGGAGTCTGTGCACTCGCCTTTGGTTCCTCGGTGGTTGCAGTTTAGAAAGTGTTTAGAGAGGGGTTTGCCCATAAGGGTCTTATCAGAGTCGTGTAAGGGTGTTTATCTAGGATGCCCAGTAGTACCCTTTTTCCCTTTTTGTAGTCCAAGGTTCCTTATAAAGTTACCCAATACCAAAAAGAGAGGCCTTTTTATTCTTAGGTTACTGGGTATCCTAGTTACAGTGTGTATAGCGTCTTTGCAGCTCTGTATTGGAAGGGCTTTGGAGTCCAGGGTGCAAAACTTTGTAAGGGTATACCCTAAACCCTATAAACCGGTATAGAAGTTTGTAACCAAATCCTCCAGCCCTAGACCCCAGACCCTAAACTCTAAACCCCCAACTCTTTGCAATCTTGTAGTTTCGTATGTTTGTATTCATACAAATGGAGGTTTCCGAAAGTAGGGATACCCTCATATGTTAACCCTAAATAGTAGCATCCTTATTACAAGGAACCCAAAATAAGGTACCCCCAATTTTCGGAAACTCCCAAACCTCTAAACCCTAAACCCTTTATAGAACCCTTATAGTACCCTTATAGCAACCCTTTAAAGGAACCCTAAGGTACCCCTAAGTATCAGGCCTCCAAGTCAGGCTATGTTATCCTGAAAGCCTCGGGTGTCACGTCAGGGGATTCAGGGCTTGGGTCAAGGCGTTGAGGTCTGTTTAGGGTTTAGGGTTTAGGGTATACAGTTTAGGGTTCAGGGTTTAGGGTTTAGGGTTTAGGGTATACAGTTTAGGGTTCAGGGTTTAGGGTTTAGGGTATACAGTTTAGGGTTCAGGGTTTAGGGTTTAGGGTTTAGGGTATACAGTTTAAAGGGTCATCTAGACTAGATCGTGATTGCAAGGATGCCCTGTTTAACGCCTTGTGACAACTATGCAATGCGTCTGCCGATGTAGTTCATCTGATTAGGATATCGGATATCACTTGAAGCATACGGGTTCAGAAATTAGAGCTTTAAGCTCTGTGGCCTTATTCTAATCACGAAGGCTCCTCGCTGCGCGCCGTAGGCACCCAAGCCGTCAATCCCGTTCAGATCGACCCGGAAGCCCGAGTAAATGCGACAACCCTCAACCCTAAACCCTAACCCCCCCAAAACCCTTCGGTTTCAGAGCGCCTTTAACGAACAATTCAAGCTAGGATGCCCAGTAGTACCCTTATTCCCTTTCTGTAGTCCTAGGTTCCTTATACAGTTTCCCAATACCCAAAGAGGGAGCCCTGTTTATTCCTAGGCTACTGGGCATCCTGGCAAGGGGTTTCTGGAATCCTTTCAAGGGGAAACTTGGGGGGGTTCCTTAAGGACGAAATGAACCTTAAAAGGGTTTAAGGTTCATATACCATATACGGATGCATAGTATGTGGGTATAGGGTACCATATATAGGGATTCATAGTCCATGAGTATAGCCTACTTTTAAGGGTCATGTGGTCCTTCAGGTTCAGGGTTGCTTCAAAGCTATTCAGGATTCCTCTAAAGGCGAAGCCTAAGGGTCCAGCGGCACGCGCCAAGTATTCTTCAAGAGAGGCCTTGTGACGTGATATAAAGGGTATTTAGAATATGAGCCTGTAGAGAATTTGGGGGCTCTCGGTGATATTTACGACCTGCAGACAATCTAGGGCCCAGAGTAAGCCCTTTTCTCTGTTTTAGGGTTCAGGTTCCCTTATATATAACCCCCTTTGAACCAAACAGGGCACCCTTTTTGTTCCTAGGTTACTCTTGGGTCTAGACTTAAAAACCCTAAACCCTAAACCCTAGACCCTAAATCCTAAACCCTAAACCCTAAACCCCTAAACCCTAAACCCTAAACCCCTAAACCGTTAAAGCTTGGAGACGTAGAGCGGCCTGGGACAGCCAAGCCCCCAGGGCCAAGCACCCCGGAACCCAATGGGCCCCAAAACCCTCTTCGAATTATCTAAGCCCCCACATTACTACTACTTGGAGGGTCGGGGGACTTAGTAAGTAGGCAGTAAGTAGACTTATAAGTACCCTAAAAGGAAATAACCAGTTACTAAGTCCCCCGACCCTCCAAGTATGGATCCCTTGTAGACCCCTTTAAAGGAACCCTTGAGGGTTTAGGCTTTAGGAAATCCTAGACGGGTTGGCGCTTAAGGGTATAGTGGCGGGGTGTTAAGGGTCTGGTGGTTTAAGGCTCAGAGTTTCAAGGGTTAAAGTTTGGTGGTGGAGTTCTAAGGGTTTAGCGGTCTAGGGCTCAGGGTTTTAAGGGTTTAGTGGTGTAGGCTCATGGTTTTTACAAACTCGACTGGGCTGCAGGTATTCAGTACCTCCTTCGGCAAGGCTATACGGTGGCAGACATCCAAACGCCCACGCCACAGGCACCCTTTTCTTGAGAAGGATTTGCGGCCGCTAGTGTTTCCTACAGTGGCCTAAGTTACACGAATTAGCACAGTGTATTATTCCGTGCTGTTCCTTGTTGTGGTTATAAAGTTCTACTACACTATGCTCTTGTCGGTAAAGCCGCTGTTTTATGGCTTCAGGGTTTTAGGATTGAGGGTATAACGAGTTTAGATAAAGTTGTCAAAATACCTTGAAGAAGGGGGTGATGATTGGGTGTTTGGCTTGGCGTTCAAGCCCTCAACCCTGAAATCTGAACCCTCAACCGTCAACCCTAAGCCCTAAACTCTAAACCCTAAACCCGCAACCCTAAGCCCTAAACTCTAAACCCTCAACCCTAACCCCTAAACCGCTAAACCCCTAAACCCCTAAACCCTAAACCCAAGCAGGTCTATGGGAAGATCATGCAGCGCATCCGAGAAGACTTGAACTTCTTGGGAGTTGCTGAGACGCAGAGAGCGCGAAGGTTGGGGTTTGGGGCTCAGGGTTAACAGGGCTTATAGGGTTTATTATGGGGTTTCTATGGCTGGAAGGGTTTATTCTGGGGTGTATAGGCTTTAAAGCAAAGATCTTTCAGAAGGTCTTTAAGGATTATTGGTCTTTAAGTGGTATTAGCTTATCTTAGTAGTCCAAACCCAACTTTTCAACTTTTGGGTTTCTTACAAGCTAGTCTTATTCTGAAAGTTTCAAGCTTTTGGGACAGTAAGTTATCGGTTTTTGACTCTTGATGTCTTTAAGAGGGTTGCCCCAAATGGGAGTTTCCGAAAATAGGGGACCCTAATATAATGCCCGAGATAGTAGGATTCTGATTATAAGGACCCCAGAATAAGCTTCCCCTCTAAACCCTAAACCCTAAACCCCTAAACCCTAAACCCTAAACTCTGTTCGGAAACCCCTAAACCACTCGAAAGCTACGTCTTGGCACTTACCTTAGCGGCCCTGAAGAACCGACCCCTGAGGGAGGCAGAAGTCGTTAGGGATTTAGGGTTTAAGGGTTTAGGGATTTGGGGTTAAGGGATTTAGGGTTAAGGGGTTTAGGGTTAAGGGGTTTAGGGTTAAGGGGTTTAGGGTTTAGGGATTTAGGGTTTAGGAAGTTAGGGTTTAGGAAGTTAGGGGTTTAGGGTTTCGGGGTTAGGCGTTTAGGGTTTAGAGAGCTGTAGAGGTTTGATCAACTACGTAGTGACATCTGCTTCTAGTCCCTGCTAAAGGCAATATTGCCCCTGTGAAGACTACTCAAAATTGCCGTGCATGCCTGCAAGATCGCAATCTCAAATCCTCGACTGCAGCAGGGCTTGAATTTAATTTTAGGGGCCTGAGTAGTTCGTCATGCTGCTCTTTCGTGCCCCCTGGTTAGTATGTTGATAGTACACGGCCCCCGTACAAAACTCATCTAACTAGTACGAGTTTAGGGTTTAGATATCAGGGTCTTGACCTCACCGCTCAAATGACACCTTAGGTATCTGGTCAAGTCAACTTCGACGGCGGCAACGACAGAGCGAACACGTTGGTGTTGGAGCAGGCGCGCACTTAACCCTTCATTGTAGTGAACTCTGGGTTCCTGAGTAGTACCCTTCTGCCCTTGTTTCAGGATCCCCGTATTAAAACCGAATGGTCGGAATAATCCTTCATAAGGCTAAGCCTCTTGACCTGAGTCCCCAATTTTAAAAGCCTGATTTCCCTGTTAGCTTGTGCACCGAAAATTTCATAAACTTAGCTTACTACAAGGCACCGGATAGTTACCAACGCTATTTTGGGTTATAGTTACGAGACCGTTTTCTGATTGCTGAGGCCCCTGGATTACCTAGCTTTCGGAGCCTTAGACTCCAAGCAAGCTTAACGAAGAAATATGTGGATGCCTATGGGTTGGACACTCCCCCCGCTCAGCAACGCCGCAATGTTCATAAGATAGGCCGGAAATCCCAAACGCCTTCAAAAAACTGACCTGAACCCGTGGTGTTCCCTTAACACATGATTAGCCTGAACCCTTCTGAACAGGAAGCCTCCACCCCATGTATGCATCTTGTTCTAAAGCCTCAACCTTAAGCCGGAGGTCCAGTCTGGCGGGCTGGTAGACATTGCGCACATCCGACCGAACGGAACCATCAACTGGATAGCCAATGGCTCTGCTGAGGCACTGCGTGGAAAGCTTCGGTCGTTTAGGGTTTCGGGTGTGTTTTTTTTCAGGATGGCAGGGCTAATCCAAGTGGCAAGGCATGGCCGAGGGCTCATCGGTTTAGGATTTAGGAATGATCTAGTAGAGACTTAGTAGCTGAGTGGATACACTTTACACTTTTTTGGAGAATACTACCCACTATAAAACGGAAAGTGTGCACTTTTTGGGGCTTATGAATTCAGCAACTTAGGGGACTAAAACGGAGCTCTGCGCAAGCGTGTGTTGTTTTCGACTCAACCTTAGGGTTTAGGGTAGGGAAAGGTTTTCGGACTGTGGATACATGTGTCAGGCCCCTACATAATGTGGATTTATGCCTGGGACGTCAGGTGAAGCTCTGCTAAAGGGAACTCCAGAAAGTTGGAATATGGATTAATGGTAGGATCCCCTATAACTTACTTTAAAGGGGTTACGATAATGATATTCCAACTTTCTGGCTTCTACTGTAGCTGCTAGATCGCAACCGCGACATCTGTCATTCTTTCCAGCGCATGGCGGGCCTCTTACACCAACGCACCACACAAATCGCCGAAAGCATAGCCACAGCCGGACTAGCAGTAAGTTGCTTACCAGCAGAAGATCGATCCTCTTTCTGCTTAGCATGCTCATCACCTGCGCCATCAACCTCATCATCGCCTTGTTAGCATCATCAGCACCATCACTGTTTTCGTATTAACTACATTCTCGTCAGACCCTGAAAGTGTCATAATCATAGTCATGACGATGATGATGGTGGTAGTGACATTGATGATGATGATGATGATGATGATCTTGTTGATGATGACGATGGTGGTGCTGGTGATGATGTTGAGGATGATGATGATGGCTATCATCATCATCGTCAGCACCGTCGTCAGCGGTTGCATAGCTTCATGCGGGCATTGACGAGAATCAGAGAAAGCTTCAGAAGCCATGTGCCGGCACGTAGTCTTTCTTGAGGTTCGTGGAAACCGAGACAGGGTCCTACGATACAAATGTGCCCTTTGCCGAAGCCCATACAAACCTGTAACGCTCAGGGAGGTTACAAGTTTCACTAGGATGCCCAGTAGTACCCTTATTCCCTTTTTGTAGTCCTAGGTTCCTTATAAAGTCGCCCAATACCAAAGAAGAGAGGCCTTTTTATCCTTAGGTCACTGGGTAGCCTAGTTCAACTTCGCACCAAACATCCCCTAAACCCTAAACCCTAAACCCAAACCCTACACCCTACACCCTAAACCTTAAACCCTAAACCCTAAACCCAAGCCCTCTGCCCTGGCTCTAAAGAACCCTAGGCCCAGATCCCAAACCCCAATAGATCCCTGCCCGAAACCCTAAACCCTAAACCCCGATAGATCCCTTATGGATCCCTTTAAAGGAACCCCTATGGATCCCTTTAAAGGAACCCCTATGGATCCCTTTAAAGGAACCCCTATGGATCCCTTTAAAGGAACCCCTATAGCCTATAGATCCCTTTAAAGGAAGCCCTATAGATCCCTTTAAAGGAACCCGAAGCCCCCCCGGGATTTTGGCAGCAAGGCCACCTTTTGGGACATTGAGCCCGCAGAGGTCTTCGAGCATCTTGAAGCCGACAGGGTAGGTCCTTTACTACTATTTGCTTGAGAACCCCCCAAAAATAAAAGTATATCCCTTATGGGGGTAATATATGGATTACTATTTTTATTTTTTGGGTGGTTTCTTAAGCAAATAGTAGTTTAAGTGTTCATTTCAGGGGTTTCTTTAAGGGTTCCTTTCCGGGGTCCTCTATATAAGGGTTCCTTCAGGGGCTACTAAGTTGTAAATGGGTTTGGGAATTTATGGTTGTAGAGTGTGACACTTTCTGTAACATTGATAAGAGAGGTTGAATACCAATACTCACAAGAATCATAAAAGCAATCACAACAACGGTTTATAGTAGCATAAACTTAGCCGCGGGTTCAGGTGCCCAAGTGATTCGGGTAGGCAGCATGTGCTACTCACTCAAAGGATATCCCGATACCCTAATCAAACCTCCAATCCTTAACCCTCTGAAAGTCAAAAGCCTCGAACCCGAAACCCGTTAGTCACAAGCAGTGAAATTGCCTGCTCGCATTTTAGGTACTAAGGCAACCTCAGTCGATGTTGGTTCGACTTGAGTATAATCTACACCCTGAACCTTATACTCAAATCCAAACCTTAAACCCTAAGCCCTGAAGACGAAAATAAGTAGACACTGTATGCTTTCACGACCAAGGCTTCCACGCCAATCACCTAACTCAGCCAGCCCCAACCCGCCCGAAGTCCAGCCCCAAGTCCAGCCCCCGATTGTGCCAACTTTACTCTGAAAACTCGGTCGCCCCAGCCTTTAATATGGGGGCCTTCATTAATAAGAGTAGGGTTTGGGCTTTCTTATACTATAACTATAAGAAGGAACCCCCAAAACCCTATTCTAATTCCCAAGGCCCCTGCATTAGCAGCCTGCAACCGAGCCAAGCCGCCCAACCCGATTTGGTCGCTTCTTTAAAGACCAACTTGGCCAAAGCCTTCGGTCAAAAGTGTTCGAGTCAAAGCGAAAAGCGTGTCGGTCGAAACTGGGACGCAAACGCTACGCAATGTGGGTGGTTGTCAAAATTATGGTCCCTATTATAATCCGGCACGGGACCCTAGTTTTGACAACCACCCATGTCGATAAACCGTCAATCCGAAAGCCGAAGCCGAAGCCCCAAAGCCTGTACCCTGAACCCCAGACATCCCTAAACCCTAAGAGACCCTAACTTCGAAGATCCGACACACTAAAGGGGGTCCCTAAACTCCTAAAGCCTCAAGGTCCCAAACCAGAAAGGCCCTCAACCCTGA